GAAAGTCTGAAACTATAAGCTTTGTGGGAAAGGGAAGAGAGAGGTGTAGGACCAAAATTCTAAATCTAGGGATCAGAACTGAGGGACTCTCCCAATACGACAATAGTGGCCACCACTTGGAACTTTCTTCGGCATTTATTGAGTGCACGTATATGCTACGTAGTCTTCCCCGGCGGCAAAACTGGTAAAGAACCCGCCTGCCAATGCAGGAGACACATGAGACGCGGATTCAATCCCTGGGTCTGGAAGATCCCCTGGAGGAGGAAATGGCAACCCACTCCAGTATTCTTGCCTGGAGAATTCTGACAGGGGAGCCTGGCGGTATACCATCCATGGGGTGGCAGAGTCAGACAGGACTGAGCGACTAACACACATTCGTTTACTGAATGTAAGTGCCACAAGGGCGGTGCCTTGCCCCGCTTATTCGCCCCTGTATTCCCTGACTCAGGACTCGGCGCAACAAGGTGGGAGCTCAATAATTGCTTCCATGTGTAACCTCTACCTCAAAGTTGCGCTCCAAGCCGCGTCTCAGAACTCAAGAATGAATGGTACGCATCTGTCCATCAACCAGTTAAGGCAGGGCAAAAATTTGCATGTTGCCTCCCTATTGGTGAAATCCACGGTCCCTAGTTTCCTTCCCGGCAGTGGAGGGAGGGTCATAATATCGGCCTCTGTGGCCACAGTTCAGTTGCGACCCCAGGGACTGCAGCACGCCAGGTTTCCCTATCCATTGCCAAATCTCGGAGTTTACTCAAACTCATGTCCATTGAGTCGGTGATGTCATCCAGCCATCTCATCTTCTGTCGTCCCCTTCTCCTCCTGCCTTCAATCTTTCCCAGCATCAGGGCCTTTTCCAATGAGTCAGTTCTTCGCATCAGGTGGCCAAAGTATTGGAGTTTCAGCTTCAACATCAGTCCTTCCAATGAACACCCAGGACTGATTTCCTTTAGGATGGACTGGTTGGATCTCCTTGCAGTCCAAGGGACTCTCAAGAGTCTTCTCCAACACCGCAGTTCAAAGGCATCAATTCTTCAACGCTCAGCTTTCTTTATAGTCCAACTCTCATCCATACATGACTATTGCAAAAACCATAGCTTTGACTAGATGGACCTTTGTTGGCAAAGTAATGTCTCTGCTTTTTAATATGCTGTCTAGGTTGGTCATAACTTCTTCCAAGGAGCAAACTTCTTTTAATTTCATGGCTGCAGTCACCATCTGCAGTGATTTTGGAGCCCCCCAAAATAAAGTCTGCCATTGTTTCCCCATCTATTTGCCATGAAGTGATGGGACCAGATGCCATGATCTTAGTTTTCTGAATGTTGAGCTTTAAGCCAACTTTTTCACTCTCCTCTTTCACTTTCATCAAGAGGCTCTTTAGTTCTTCACTTTCTGCCATAAGGGTGGTGTCATCTGCATATCTGAGGTTATTGATATTCCTCCCAGCAATCTTGATTTCAGTTTGTGCTTCATCCAGCCTAGTATTTTCATGATGTACCCTGCATATAAGTTAAATAAGCAGGGTGACAATATACAGCCTTGACATATTCCTTTTCTTATTTGGAACCAGTCTGTTGTTCCATGTCCAGTTCTAACTGTTGCTTCCTGACCTGCATACAGATTTCTCAGGAGGCAGGTCAGGTGGTCTGGTATTCCCATCTCTTTCAGAATTTTTCACAGTTTGTTGTGGTCCACACAGTCAAAGGCTTTGGCGTAGTCAATAAAGCAGAAGTAAATGTTTTTCTGGAACTCTCTTGCTTTTTCAATGATCCAGCAGATGTTGGCAATTTGATCTCTGGTTCCTCTGCCTTTTCTAAATCCAGCTTGGTCATCTGGAAGTTCATGGTTCACATGCTGTTGAAGCCTGTCTTGGATAATTTTGAGCATTACTTTACTAGCGTGTGAGATGAGTGCAATTGTGCGCTAGTTTGAACATTCTTTGGCATTGCCTTTCTTTGGGATTGGAATGAAAACTGACCTTTTCCAGTTCTGTGGCCACTGCTGAGTTTTCCAAATTTGCTGGCATATTGAGTGCAGCATTTTCACAGCATCATCTTTTAGGATTTGAAATAGCTCAACTGGAATTCCATCTCCTCCACTAGCTTTGTTCGTAGTGATGCTTCCTAAGGCCCACTTGACTTCACATTCCAGGATGTCTGGCTCTAGGCTGATGATCACACAATTGTGATTATCTGGGTCATGAAGATCTTTTTTGTATAGTTCTGTGCATTCTTGCCACCTCTTCTTAATATCTCTTGCTTCTGTTAGGTCTATACCATTTCTGTCCTTTATTTAGCCTATCTTTGCATGAAATGTTCCCTTAGTATCTCTAATTTTCTTGAAGAGATCTCTAGACTTTCCCATTCTGTTTCCCTCTATTTCTTTGCATTGATCACTGAGGAAAGCTTTCTTATCTCTCCTTGCTATTCTTTGGAACTCTGCATTCAAATGGGAATATCTTTCCTTTTTTCTTTGCCTTTCACTTCTCTTCTATTCACAGCTATTTGTAAGCCCTCCTCAGACAACCATTTTGCTTTTTTGCATTTCTTTTCCTTGGGTATGATCTTGATCCTTGCCTCCTGTACAATGTCTCAAACCTCCATCCATAGCTCTTCAGGCACTCTGTCTATCAGATCTAATCCCTTGAATCTATTTGTCACTTCCACTGTATAATTGTAAGGGATTTGATTTAGATCATACCTGAATGGTCTAGTGGTTTTTCCCTACTTTTTTCAATTTAAGTCTGAATTTGGCAATAAGGATTTCATGGTCTGTACCACAGTCAGCTCCCAGTCTTGTTTTTGCTGACTGTATAGAACTTCTTCATCTTTGGCTGCAGAGAATATAATCAATCTGATTTCGGTGTTGACCATCTGGTGTTGTCCATGTGTAAAGTCTTCTCTTGTGTTGTTGGAAGATGGTGTTTACTGTGACCAGTGCGTTCTCTTGGCAAAACTCTATTAGCCTTTGCCGTGCTTCATTCTGTACTCCAAGGCCAAATTTGCCTATTACTCCAGGTATTTCTTGACTTCCTACTTTTGCATTCCAGTCCCCTATAATGAAAAGGACATCTTTTCATTAGTTCTAGTTCTAGTTCTAGAAGGTCTTGTAGGTCTTCATAGAACCGTTCAACTTCAGCTTCTTCAGCATAGACTGGTTGGGGCATAGACTTGGATTACTGTGATATTGAATGGTTTGCCTTGGAAATGAACAGAGATCATTCTGTTGTTTTTGAGATTGCGTCCAAGTACTGCATTTCAGACTCTTTTGTTGACTATGATGGCTACTCCATTTCTTCTAAGGGATTCTTGCCCACAGTAGTAAATATAATGGTCATCTGAGTTAAATTCACCCATTCCACACCCTCCTGTAAACACCCATTCCACACCCTCCTGTAAAAACCAGTTCTTCCTACCCGCTAGTAAAGGATATGGCTTAGAGGGATGGGAGCCGGGATGGGGTTGCTCAGACCTCTCAGTTCCCAGTCCCTTATTCTCCAATCTTGTTGGCACACAACTCAGTCACACAGCAAGTGTGACCCTACCTGGTATATCTGAGCTCCGCTGGGAGAGGCTGATGTTACCAAGATCTGGGGCAGGGGGCCGTAGGGGACCAGAGTCTCACTAAGTTGCAGCTGATTGTCCACACTGCAAAGTCAGACCATCGGGCTGGGTCTGTGTTACTCTAGATGGGCACACCTTGGATCTAAGGTCCTTGAGGAACCAGAGCAGGCAAACAGGATTCAGGGAACAGGGGGGTGAACTGAGCATACGATAAGGCTAACTTTGGACTGAAAATTCCTGGGCCATACACCCAGAGTCCTACTTAAACTGCTCAGGAGCCTGAATTCTACATTAGCTCCTCAGGGGATTTTGACACAGGTAGTCACCTCAGAGAAAACCACAGTTGGGTTAGTTGATTATAGCTGCTTCATGGACAACTCAGGTTTTCTTGCCCATCCCCTCCTAGGGGTTCCCCAAGTCACTTAGAGGAACACATTTGCAAAGGGTGAAGATGAGAACAGCTGCCAAAGGCCCATTCCTGCATTTCCTGTGTCCTGTGTTGGTCCTCCTTCCTTTCACCATCCTCGCCATCCTCACCTTCCACAGCTTCTATGCTGAACCCCCAGTCTGGGCCCAGGCCTTACCTTCACAGTCACTTCCTGTCTCCCTTGCCAATCCTTGCTCTCCAGGACTTAGTGAGGCAAGCCTAGACCCTTCATTAAAAGTAGGATCTGGCTCCCCTCACACACACACACACACACACACACACACACACACACACACACACTCCCTGGGCAATGCAGAGCACATTCCTTCATCCTTCCATCCATAAAGCTTATGAATAATAGTTTCAACTCATTCACCTATTCAATGTGTGTTGATTGAACACCTATGTGTCAGCTACTCTTTCAAGCCTTGAGGATACATGGGTGAAACACACAGCTGAGATTCCTCATCCTCACAGAGCTTACATTCCAGTGGGGGAGAAAGACAGAAAACACAACGGGAAAAAAAGAAATAGACAGTGGAAATAAGTGCTAAGGAGAAAAGTTCAGCAGAGAAAGTGAGTGGAGAGTATGTACTGGGGATTCATTTTGCAGACACCCATCCATTGAATTCTCACACCAAGTTTCAGATGAGAAGCCTGACATCTAGGGGGTCTATGTGACTTGTCCTAGGTTACGCAGTTTAGAGAGCAATCAAGTCAGAATCTGAACCTTGGTCAGATCTATGCCATCTTTAAAAAGTGAGTCTTGACAGGGTGGATATACCCTTAAATCAATGTGGTAAGTGCGGTTGCATTTTATTTCTGTAATAATTCATTTCAGTAATAAAAGAAACAAAGGAAAAGAGCTCTAAGCACATTTTATGTTACAGCTTTTATTGAGGAATGTAATAAACATACGTATCATTTTCCTGTACAATTTTAATGGCCTGTGGGGGAGAATCTTAAAAAACATCCCAGTCTGCTGAATGGTTGAGTTTAGGGGAAAAACTGACCCAGCACATGCCTCGCAACTCCCTGATGAGGTCACCGTGGTTCTGCAAGGTGAATCGAGGTCGCTTGCCAGGGCGACTGCCAAGTAGAACCGGAATCGTCAGATTCCGTTTCGGTCTCCGCTTTAACCCTCCGGGAGACGGGGAGGCTTGAGAGGACACCATGGGTCAGTTCCCCGAAGGGCCGCCAGGGGGCGACGGATCCGGGTGACCCTGGAAACCGGGCTCTCTCTGGCCGCGGGTGGGAAAAAGCAGATGAAGAGGGTCTGTGATGGAGAAACGGCAGAAAAGGCACCGAGCCTAGGAAGTCTGTTCATTCCGCCCTCCTTGATTTCAGTCCAGCACCCGTCACTGTCTTTCGCTCACTGTTGCCGCCTGGACCTCTCTAAAACAAAAGGCTGACTTTGTCATCACCACTCGTTGAAACTCTTTGACGACACCCCCAGCATAGTTTACAAGAAAAAAAGCTGAACGCAGGACCTGCGTGATCTTGCCCCAGCCTATATCCAGGCCAACATCCTCTGGAGCCGTATTAAAATATTTTGAATTATTTAACCTCTTCATCCTCTTTCTGTCCTGTGAGTCCTGAAACGTTTGGGTCCCCCCACCTGGAATACCTTTCTACACCAGGTTTACTGGGAGAATTCTCTCTTTTAGCTACTTCTCTGTGAAACCTCCTGACAAAACACCCCGCCCCCCAATCCCCGCACTAGTTTGGGGTAAGGGGGTCCTTCCTGTGTTGCCATTACCCTGGGCTTCCCCCATCACGTTGTGTAATATTTGGCCTTGTCTTTCCGTTTCAGCGCCTGTCCCAGAGCAAGGCGAATAGAGACTGCATGAACTGATTGCAGAATGAATGCACGAGATAGTACAGGGTTCAGGCTCTGCCACTTGTGTGATCTCAGACAAACTATCTGGTACATGTCGTGAGAAATAGCAAATCATTAAACAGCACTTAAAAACAGTGCTTGGAACACTGTAAGCACTCAAACGTCATTTTCACAGCGGCCAAGACGCCATTGCCCTTTTAAGGACGCCCCGCCCCACTTGTGCAGCTAAGCGGAATATCCGCTCAGGGATCCGGAAGTGACCTCAGAGCCCCTCAGAAACATGGCCCCGGAACGTTCTTCCGGAAGCGGTCATAGGCATCTCCCTGACGCACAGCGATTTAGAGCGTCCCGCAGGGTTTCCATGGTGCAACCCTCAGCCCCGAGTCCCTCGGCTTTCTCTCGTTCCCGAGCGCTCTGAACAAGGCAGGAGGCCAGTCGCTCTCGCGACTTTGACGCTGCTTGGGGGAGGGGTTGGGCGAACAGGTGACGCTCTAGGCAAGTCCGTCTTCATCTCTATGGTGCCGAATGCTCCTGCGCGCCGCCCCAGCGCGTCGGGACGAACGTTGCCCCTTTAATCAGCGAAGGGCGGTGCCGAGGAGGTCCCGCGAGAGCGGCGGGGGGCGGGGGGCGGTGCCGAGGCTGGGGGCCCGTGGCCGATGGAGCCCGCGATGGAGCCGGAGACTCTGGAGGCGCGAATCAGTGAGTGTCCGGGAGGGGCGCGGGCCGGACCGGAACCGGAACCGGGGGCATTAGGCGGTCCCCTTCCCGACGGGGGCGGGGTACAGGGCGCCCCCTCCTCACGCTCCGCCCCCGACCCGGTAAGGGGCGGTGTCCCAAAACCCATACCTCAGACCCTGGGGTGAAGAAGGGAGACCCCCACCAGCTGCATGGACCCGCAGTGGGAGCGAGTGCCACCCATCCTTCCGATTCCTGGGCCGCGACCCCCGGGGCGGAGTGAGCTGCCCCCAGCTCGGCGCCCAGAACTCCCGGGATGCAGAGCGCAGCCTACAACCTCCTCGGGCCCAGACTTATCCGCGAAGGGAACAACCAAGTCATTCCCTGGACCCCGGGAGGGAGCAGGCGACGCCGAGGGCTGCACCACACACCGGGAGGGAGGGACCCTGTTCCCCTTAAAGCCCCGAATCCTCCACTTTCTGGCGGTGCCTGATGGGACTCCCTCCTGTCTGTTCCTTGAGCTTGCAACTCAGATTCGGTTGTTTCCCCACCCAGGAAGGTAGGACCCACTAACCCATGGAATCCCCCCAAGTTCTGGCCACATAGAACCCCCTAAACTCCACAGGCTTGGGAGGGTCCCGCCTCAGACTCCAGAAGTAATGTCAAGTTCTCTATCACTACCCTCAGTTCAGTCCCTCGGATTTCTGCACCCCCACCACAGACTCCTTTCCTACCTCTCACCGAGTTTCCTCCAAAGGCCCGTTCACCCCTTCCTGTGTCTCCTCAGACCCAGCTTTCCACTCCTTAGGCTTCCGAGTGCTGACCCCCTCGCATGGCCCACCTGACCTCCCTATCCCACACTGCAGAAGATCCTCGCCTCTCATAACCCACTCTGGACTCTGCTCCTGAGAGCGCAGCTTGCTTCTCCCTGGACTAGTGACAGCTCTTTCTGCTCACATCTGCACCAGGGCCTCAGGGAAGCCTCTGGGCTTCCAGGGCCTCTGGGTCCACCCTCAGCTTAGCCCCTTGGTCCCAGGCACACCAGGGAGCCGCACAGGGTGATTTGGGATTATGGGCAACCCCTTTTAAGCCAGTCTTCTGCAGCGTTGAATCTCAGAACCAGACCATCTCCAGGGATGTTTCACAGTCAGTCTGGCCAGTGGAGGGGGAGGGCATGGAAAGGAAGCACTCAGCGGCCATCGAGACTGTTCTGGAATGCCACAAGTGTCCAGGTCTCCACAGTCACTTGGGGGTGGGGGATGGGCAGGGCCCTGACTGACAGATCTGACTGGACGCAGGCCTTGAGCCATGGGTGGTACAGAATGGTGTCAGGTTTAGCAACAGTGGACGTTTTCTGAGAGGCCAGGGAGTTTGATCTGAGCAGCAGACCGGAGGCTGGACTCTGATAAACTGGAGCTGAGGATGTTTTTTTCTTCCTGTTGGTACCCTAGCAAAATTGTAAGCTCTTCCCTTGCAGTGATTGGGGGTGAAGAGTAGGTTTTGTTGGGTAAAATGACATTGTCACCACTGTAGAGTGGCAAAGTGGAGTCACGCCCTGTTGTGAAACACCTCCTTCCCTGGGTGTTCTGCCCTGAGACCTGCTGGGGGAAGTGGTCCCCCCAGGACAAGCTAAGAGGGCTAGGAGTTGAGGGCCAGGCCCAGAGAGGTTGGTCAGATCTCTTGGACCCAGAGGCTCTTGCTCTGAACCAGATGCAGAGAAGATGTCCCGTGATGCCCTGCTTCATCCTCCCTGGCTTCCGACTTAGGAGCAACTCTGGAACTAGTTACTATGTCCTCACTCAGACTCATGTGTCTCTTGGCACTTTTAGGGACTTCCTGTTTTAGGTTCCCCCAGCTGGGTGTCACTAAGTGGGCAATATCCAGCCCCATGCTATCTTTCTAACTGCAGACTGATGTTCCCCGGGCTCTGTCCATGTTGTAGGACTGGGAGGCAGAGTTGATGGGGGGGAGGGCAGCTATTTCTGGTATTCCTGAGTGGTCAGCAGGGGCTTCGTTTCTCCCAGGGACTGGAGGGCTCTGCAGGGCTCCCAGAACACAGACGTGTGCACAGGGAAAATGCTCCGTTCAGGTCTCCGCTCAGCTGGACCTCTGATGGCCCTCGCAGAGAGCAGTAACCCCCACAAACACTCACACTGTCTATACCGTCTCTCTGCTCTGAGTTTCTTTTCCTTTTTTTTAGAAAATGCTCTGTTTTTCTTAACAGCACTCTGCAGCAGTGTACAGCACCGTGTTTGGTTGCTTGTCTGAGCAGTCAGTGTTTCCTATGCTGAGCTATTGAGTTCCAGGAGGATGGGGGCTTTGTTCACTGTCGCAGGCCCACACTCAAAATATTTATTGAATAAATATGAATTGAATGATTGGTTGCCAGGCTCTGAGACCCTAGGGCGCCAGGCCTCCCACCACAGCACAGGACCCCAAATAGGCAGGCACCACATGCCGAGTCCCCAACCTGCCCCTGGCCACAGGTCCTTCTGCGTCCCACCTCCTGGGCTGTTCCCTCCACGGCCCCCGCTCAGTCCTCAGGCTGGGGCGGAACCGACGGGACAGGCTGGGAGGTGACAGAGAGCCAGCTCTGGCTGTCCCCACCACTCTGCCTGGGTAGAGTATGTTGTCATCCCAAATCATTCCTGATTTCACCATAACTTTGCAAATGGAGAAATGAACGTTCGGGAACGTTCTGTGACCTACTTAATAGTTTTTTTTGTGTTTTTTTGGTTGTTTTTTTCATTTTATTGAAGTATAGTTGGTTTACAGTGTTGTGTTCATTTCTGCTGGACGGCACAGTGACTCAGTTCTACATACATGTACATTCTTTTTTACGTTCCTTTTCATTATGGTTTATCCCAGGATATTGAATATGGTTTCCTGTTCTCTACAGTAGAATCTGTTGTTTATCTTTAATTGTTGTTTGACCGACACTGGGGGGGTCAGGCGGTTCTGTCTGGCCTTGTTTACCACCCCTTCCTGTTGGCCCTTTCCTCGCCACTAGCCATTCTTGATTTGAATGCCCCCAGAACCTCCCCTTGCCAGCCTGCCGCCGAGCCCGCGTCCATTCACTCATTTACTGGGGGGAGACCGACGTGTACGTAAACAGCTGGGATGCGATGCAGTAGCAGACTTGGGCCCATGATGAGGGGCAGGTCTGGGGGGACACAGGAGCAAGCTGTCCTGGCACTGCTGGCCCCGGGCAGGTGTGACCTTAGATAAGGAGGAGGCATACCTGAGCTGTGCTCCTTATCACGCCCCTCACACCCTCCCCTGCGCTATTATCCACAGCTCTTCTCACATGCAGCCCTCGAGTCATGTCATCCCCAGCCTGGTACTTCCTCTTGTGTTGCCCCTTCCGGGCAGCCTTCGCTGAGTCCCCTCCCCCGGTTCCCAATTCCCATGACCCTTTTGCCTCCCTCTGTCATCTTTTATTGAGAACCTAGCTGCCTTTGGCCCACTTCGCAGCTGCAAAGCTCCTTGTGTTTGGAACTATGGCTTTTTTCCCCTTACCTCTGAGATCTTCTCTGAGAGTGAACTCCATGAGAATTACGGGGACATTTTAGGAGCAGAATCAGAGGAGGTCCATGGTTAGACAGGCGGAGAGGCTTACAGCAGAAGTGACAGTAAGGGAACAGCCCCTGAGCACTCTCTAGACATGGGGCCCTTTGGGGAGAAGCTGTGAGGGGAAGCCGGTGGCCAGCAGGTCCTCCGTGCTCTGACCTGACGGACATCAGCGCTGGGATCTTGGGGCCGTTAGGGCAGGGAATCAAGGAGAGGCCTTTCCGTGTGCTCAGTCGTACCCCAGGGCAGGAACTGAAAGAGGCAGGGGTATCCTTTCGCCAGGTCGCACTAGCCCTCTCGTCTCCTCCAGACAGAGCCACAAACCCCCTGAACAAGGAGCTGAACTGGGCCAGCATCAACGGCTTCTGTGAGCAGCTCAACGAGGACTTTGAGGGGTAGGTGACTTCCCTGTCCTTTGCTCACATGCTCAGCAGCTGCCATGCATACTCCATACCTGGCCCTGGGCAGGGACAAGGGTGGGTTGAGACCCAGTTTGCATTCTTAATGAGTTCCCAGATTAATGATGGCAGCAAGCACTCTGTGCCACCCTCTGAGGTGGGCCTTGCTGGACCCATTTTACAGGTGAAGAAACTGAGACTCGGGGGACTCAGCAGTTGCCCTAAGATCTCACAGACCTGATGAGGCTCAGGGCTGCCTGACCCGTGCCCGGGCTTGTTTGGGGAGAACTACATGCTCCCCAGCTGGGGTACCCTCTGCTCAAGGCAGAACCTGAACTGCCTGCATGAGACCCACACGGTGTGCTTGTCAAAACTGTCCATTGGTGGTGCATCCAGGCTTGGACTAGACCACTCGGCAGGGAGCTTGAGGGGGACGTTGTTAGCGGGCTCCCAGGTAGTGCTGAAGTTCGGGGAGTGCAGCCCAGTGTGCTTTACCTCCGCTGCACCCCCACAAGGATGCACCCAACCTCAGGATGCCATGGGGACAGTGTGACGTTCGTGCTCCCCAGACCAGCTGCTCGGGCCCGAATCCCGTCCCTTCAGTTAGGGGGTTGCCTGGGCGAGTACTGGATACCTCCAGCCCTCCATCTCTGTCACTGTAAAGTGGGGGTGATAGTGGTGCCTGCCTCAGGGGGCTCTTAGGAGCTTAGGCAGGAAAATGGAGGTGAGTCGCCTTGCATATTAAGCACTCAGTACGTGTTAGCTGTTGCTGTCACTGGTGACAGGATCTGCTAGGTGATATCACCATTCTCCCAGCAGAATATTCTGGGCACATTGTCATATTCTGCTCCCAGGCTGGGCCCCTGTAGACCGTGGGCATGTCTCTGTTACGATCTGGTAGGTGATGTCATCATTCTCCCAGCAGAATGTTCTGGGTATATTGTCATTTCTGCTCCCAGGCTGGGCCCCTGTAGACCGTGGGCATGTCTCGGTACTTGTCTCTACAGCAAACCAAGGATGCAGCAGGTCATAGTTCTCAGTAAAGCCAGGCAAGGAGCTGAGCTCGTGCCTTTTCAAAGGTTGCTGGCCTGCGCTCCCTGCCTGGCCCTGCCCTGTTGTGCCAGAGTCTGTGGCCCCAGTCAGTCCAAAGAGGGAGCTGGGCCTTTGCACGTGCCCTGCAGGAGCATCTGCAGACTACAGGTCTGGGGGGAAGAGTGGCAGCACTCTCAGGGTGCCTGGGGCTCTGTGACTAGTCTGGCTCTTTGCTCTTCCTCTCCCCCAGGCCTCCACTTGCCACTCGGCTGTTGGCCCACAAGATCCAGTCCCCACAGGAGTGGGAGGCAGTCCAGGCCCTGACGGTGAGAAGGAGAAATGGTGCCGTCTGTTGCCTGACCGTGTGGATGGCACCAGGGGTCGGGGGGAAGACTGAGGTTTTTAGGGTCCCATCAGGCTCCTCTTTAGAGCCCAAGGGAATTGTGCCAAGATGGCCTACAATAAGGGTGTGTGCCAGCCTTTGAAGGCCCCATGGCAACCAGTGAACCAGTGGGCTGGCCTCCCACCCCAGACCCTGCACAGTTAGGCCTCTTGCAGGGAGGAAGCCCTCGGTCATCTGGTCCAGGGATTCCCAGCTCCAGCTGTCCCTCAGATCTTCTGGAGGCTGAATCTGGGCCCTACTCCACACCTGCTGACCAGAACACCTGTAGTGTGTGCATCCAGGAATCTCCATGTTTATAGAGCTCCTGGATGCATTGTGGAGCCCGACAAGGCCAGCCTGTCGATGGCCTCCAGATACAGGACAACACCAGGCACCATTTTAGTAGTTATGTGTTTGTTTTAACATGTTAGGGTTTGGGTGGGGGTTTTTTTTGTCTTCTCACATATTAGTCCTCTGATTTCACATACGTATGGCTTAGGATAAGGCTGAGGTTGATGGTGCCTATTTATATTTCAAAAAACCATCAAAGGAAAATAGTAAGAAAGTAATTTACAAGTGGTACTCAGATGTGGCCAAGCCACAGAGGGACTCAGTTGGTGATGTGAGTTGGGTGTCGCCAGGCTCTCAGAGTGGCCCGGCCCTGTCTTCCGGGGGTGGTGATTAATCTCAGGGGTCTCTGAACCTCAGAATCCTTTTTTTCCTCAAGTCATTTTCTCCCTTCTCACTGCTGGCCTCTGGACTTCTGGTCCCCAGCTGAGGTGTGGGAGGGAGGCTGCCTCCTCTGACCCACCCAGGGGCCCCCGTACCTCACACCTTCCCTCCCCAGGTGCTGGAAACATGCATGAAGAGCTGCGGCAAGAGGTTCCATGACGAGGTGGGCAAGTTCCGCTTCCTCAATGAGCTCATCAAGGTCGTGTCTCCCAAGGTGGGTGCCTCTATCATATGCTCAGACCTCTGCTGTCATGGGGGGTTGAGCAGCGAGGATCCCAGATTGAGAGAGGAGGGTGACTGTCCTCCTCCTGACCCAGCACAAGCACAGACCCTTTCTCAAGGTCCCCTTCACACAGCTGGATCCAGGACAGCTGGGCTTCTAGGAAGAATGTTCCAGGCTGCCCGATGGCTGGCTGACTCGGGAGCAGCTCGGCACTTAGGGAGGAATGACAGCAGTGAAAGAACAGCTTCCCCAATGTGGGCTGCTCAGGTCTGAGCTCTCTCCCTGCAGACCTGGCCATGGCAGGTCTGGGCACCAGGGAGGGGTGCCCTGGCGCCCCGCCTAGGTGTCTAGTGGAGGGTCTCCCTATCCCCACTCACAAGAGTGGCCTCCTTCAGGCCTCGGACCTGAGGCCCCAGAGTCCTCCCCTAGGGCAGGAACAGGTTTGGTGCCCCTTGTTGGGTAGGTGAGAGCCCACCCCTTTTGCCCGTCCTCGATCAGGCCCGTCACTTGACCCGAGCAGCTGAATGACCCAGCAGCTCTTCTCAGGAGTTGACCAGTGTAAGAGCTAGTTCCCTCAGCCGAGCGTGCTGCTGGGAGACTGAATGGGGCCTGGGGCCAAACATCCCCACGCCTGCTCCTTCCCTGGTCAGCCAGGAGCCTGGTGGCTCCTCCTTCCTGAGGTCACCAGGTTAAGGCTTCCATGAGCCGACTGTGAGTGGGTGCTGGGCTCTGGGCCTTTCAGCTCTGCATTCCCAGCATGGTCCCGCTACTGTTACCTTACTGAACAGGTGGGGGACTGGGACACCCAGGGCCGGCTCAGCTTGGGAGTGGCAGGGCCTGGAGCTCTGCCAGGCTGGTCAGGTGGGACATGAGGGTCCTGTAGGCTGAGGTTTCTGAGGGAGTCCTGGGAAGGCAGCCAGGTTTGGGCTGGGGTCAGGGCTGCAGTGAGTAAGGCCAGCCAGTGCAAAGCCTCCTCTCCCCTCGGTCCCTGAAGTACCTGGGCTCTCGGACATCAGAGAAGGTGAAGAACAAGATCCTGGAGCTTCTCTACAGCTGGACGGTCGGCCTCCCGGAGGAGGTGAAGATTGCAGAGGCCTACCAGATGCTGAAAAAGCAGGGTGAGGCACCAGAGTTGGGGGTGACCGCCCCCTCTGCTCTGCCCTGGGGCTCCAGCAGCTTCAGGGCCCTGGCAGCAAGATCATGGGTTGTGCCCTTTAACTGCTCAAGACCACAGAGTCAATGGGGCCTCTTTATGGCTCTGCCTGAGGCAAGATGGGCTGGAGAGAAGATGGGTTTGAGTCAGTCTTCCCCTCAGAGAGTGGCCCCCCATAGAATGGTCTCAAAATAGAGGCTCCTAACTACGCCCTCTGCCGGCTGCTATTTGGCGTGGTAGTTCAGGAGCAGGCCTTGACTCCTGAAAGCCAGCACCAGCATGCTGAAGAAAGCCTGCCCTCCATTTTCCCTCCTACCCTTGCCTGCCCCCCATACCCCACCCCACCCCAGCCCCTGAGACAGTCTCCCCACCGCCCTCCGCTGCAGGGATCGTGAAGGCCGACCCCAAGCTGCCAGATGATGCCGCCTTTCCTGTTCCTCCACCACGGCCGAAGAATGTGATCTTTGAAGATGAGGAGAAATCCAAGGTGAGGCTTCAGGGAGGGCCGGAGGAGGACCCCAGGCCCCTTGAGGGTCAGCGGATTCCAGCCCCTAGCGGCGCTGTCCCTGGATCAGAGGCTCACACTGAGCACGGCTGCGTGGTGGGTGTGGGCACCAGATGGTAAGCCCTTACACATGTTGATGCTGCCCGCATGGTGCCTGCACTTAGTACACGTAGGCCTGAGCCTGGTGGCCCTGGGGTTGGTCTGAGGGCATTTCATAGGTTGATCAGCAGGATGCCTGTCTTTATGTCTGTGACTCTCTCAGTGGTAATTTTGTTAGCTTTTTGTTAAAGAAGCCTGTGCTCATGGGCAAAAACTTAAAACAGCCCAGAGGTAAGATAAAAAAGCTCCTCTCTACCCAGTCAAGTCCCGGAGGGTAACTGCTGTTGAGTGTCCTGTACCTCCTTCCAGAAGAATTCTCTTGCAATATTAATGTAATTTTTCACACCATTTGTGGAGAATTTATTTCTGCCGGGCATTGTGGAAAGCACTTATGTGCAGTATGTCACTTGTCCCACAGCCACCACATAAGATCAAGATGTCAGTAGATTCTTTTTTTTTTAAAAAAAAAGGGATTCATTTATTTTATTTCATCGGCCTCTCAGCATGTGGCATCTTAGTTCCCTGACCAGGGATCGAACCCACACTCCATGCAGTGGAAGAGTGGAGTCTTAACCCCTGGACTGCTAGGGAAGTCCCCACTGTCAGTAGATCCTTGCCACCCCATGGAGAGCTTAGTGACTTATTCATGTCCCACCTCCAGGAAAAGGAGCCAGCACAGGATGCCAGGCCGAGAATGCCATCACAGCGTGTCCCTCTGTCTTCACAGATGCTGGCCCGCCTGCTGAAGAGCTCCCACCCTGAGGACCTCCGAGCAGCCAACAAACTCATCAAGGAGATGGTGCAGGAGGTGATAGTTGAGCCCAGAGCTCAAGGAGGTGGCGGGAGGGGATGTTGAGCTGGGCCACCGAGCTGGAGTGGTCAGCTGTGAACTCCACAGTGACCCAACTAAAGGGCTGTGACAGCAGAGAAAGAGGGACTGAGTCAGGGGACTCTGCGGGCAGGGCCAGGGTCAGTAAGCGCAGAAGAAAGCGTTTCCCAGTAGCCGAGCCGACCTGCGCTGGCTTCTGTGAGACTGAGTACCTCTTCTATAAAAGTGAGAAGGAAGTTAGCCCTTATTGTACTTAAGACAGAGTATGGATACAGAGAAGGAAGAATATACGTGTATTTCATAAGGATGTATACCTGTGTTGGGGACACATACTGAAATCTTTTTTATTGATAAGGGTAAGTCATCAAAAGAATGCAGTCCAGACACACAGAGGCAGATGTTCTGGGCTATCTTAGGGTAAGCTGTGTGCTCTGACAACCCAGAGAAAGGGCAGCCCTTTTCAAGGAGGGCGACTGTATCAGACAGCACAGTACAAGCCCGCCTTTCATTCCACAAGGGAGACGCGTGCGGAGTGAGCAGAGAGGGTGTGGGATAGCAGGGTCCCTTGTGTAGCAGCCTTTCAAGGCCGTGAGCTCCCTGCCACTTGCTGCACACTGACAGACACCTCATGGGGTTCTGGCACTAGATTCTCTGTTGGTGACCATGCAGGTTCCCTTTCCCTCTCAAGTACAGGTACCTCCTATCAAGGGACAGACAAGGAGCAGGAGGGTTGTGTAGAACCACAGGTGTAGACCTAGGTCCCGGGCCTCCAGCATCAGCTGGCAAATGTGTTGGACTCAACAGATTCCTGGGCCACCCCTGGAGATTCTGATGAGCTTGTGTGTCCAGGGTGTTGGTGAGAGGAGAGGAAGAGTGAACACAGGGCTGGCCAAGGGCTTCTTGGACCAGAGTACCCTGTCTGGGGCCCAAGGGGCTCTTTGCAGGGGCTGATCCCACACCCAGCGGGCACCCTCCAGGGTGGTGGGGGGCAGCATCCTGGCTCAGGTCCGGGCCTGACCTGGGCTCTCTGGGGCTGTTTGCCAACGCCTCCCCAGGACCAGAAGCGAATGGAGAAGATCTCGAAGCGGGCGAGTGCCATCGAGGAGGTGAACAACAACGTGAAGCTGCTGACGGAGATGGTAATGAACCACAGCCAAGGCGGCGCAGCGGCCCGAAGCAGTGAAGACCTCATGAAGGTGCGCCCGCCCCTACCCGCCCTCCCCACCCACCCCAGTGCCCCCGCCGGCCCTGACCTGCTTGCCCTGCTGCCCCCAGGAACTGTACCAGCGCTGTGAGCGCATGCGGCCCACACTATTCCGACTGGCCAGTGACACGGAGGACAATGATGAGGCCTTAGGTGAGCTGCTGTTAGAAGGAGCTACCACTAGGGGGCCCCCCCTTCTCCAGCAGTGATCTTGGGTTTCTCCACTTTGAGGAAGAAGAAAGCTAAGCTGAGGGGCTGACCCTGAGAGACTATGCACCAAGGCTCCCCCCCCCCCACCTTTGCAGACATCTCATTTACTGCCTGTAAGCTGCACAGGAGAGAGAATTGTTCCTTTTTCACAGCTGGGGTTCAGGGAGGGAAGTGGCCTGTCCAGATCAGAGAGCAGAGTGGTGGCAGAGCCAGGGAGGACCGGAGGCTCTCCTTCCAGATGCTGCCTCCTGGTAAGGGTGAGCTCAAAACCAAGAGCAAGTCCCTGAGGCCTGAGCGCCTGCAGAGCTGGGCCCCGTGGCCACACCTAAGGGTCTCCCCCTTGTGCTGTGGCAGCACACGAGCCACGGCCTCCCTGGCAGCGGTCTAGGTACCATCTCAGCCTACAGTCATGGAGTTCCTTGAGCGCCTCCCGTGTGCCAAGTAGCCAGTGCACCCAGGAGGCTCGCCCCCTCAGCTCCCTCTCAGCCCTGGCCCCTGGAGGACCTGGTTTGTGCCAGACACTGTTCTCGACCCCGGGGCTATGGCAGTGATCAAAATAAACAGAGCCAAATCCCCCAGGAGCTTTTATCCCGACGAGAGGAGACAGGAAACTGAGGGTGTGAGCCTGGCAGTTTGTTGGGCAGTGGTAAGGGGCATGGAGAAAAGCAGGGGAGGAACTGGGGGTGTGGGGCCAGGGTGAGGGAGGGCCTCCTTGAGGTGACGTGGGTAAAGACTGGAAAGCAGGAAAGGGTGAAGCTCTGTGGAGACACAGGGGTCTCCAGACAGCAGGGCCAGTGTGGGGGCCTGGAGGCCAGGGCCCGCATCTGTGTTGAGGGGCTGGCAGGGGGCAGCGAGGAGACTGGGTGAGGGCGGGTCACGAAGTGCCTGAGGCAGAGGAGTCAGGATGGGCTGCCCCCAAGCCCCGCCCCCTCCCACGAGGTTTGGGATGGATATGGGCGCTCCTCTCCCCCCGGAGGCCCCCACAGTCCTTCAGCCCAGCCCCTCCCCTCCTGCCTGTTCCAGCGGAGATCCTGCAAGCCAACGACAACCTTACCCAGGTCATCAACTTGTACAAGCAGCTGGTGCGGGGCGAGGAGGTCAACGGCGATGCCACCACCGCCTCCATCCCTGGTGAGGAGGTGGCGGGAGAGCTGGGATGGCCCACCGGCCAGAGTCTGGGGTGCGGCACTGGTCCCAGAGCTCAGTGGCCCCTTAAGATGGGGGAGGCCCCCACTGGGAGAGCTGGGGGTAGAGTCTGTGCCAAGCCTGCAGCTGCTGGGGAGGAAGTCTGGATGCAGGGCGGAGGAGAGGGGGCTGAGGGTCTGGCAAGGACAGGCTGGAGAAAGAGGGCCTCCCTTTCATTTGACAAATCTGATGCCTGTTGTACAGGCCTGGATGACATCCTGAGGCTTAGTTTGATTATCAGAAGTGCACAGGGAGGGCTTGATACATAAACATTACAGCTCAGCTCCACTCTGGGTAGAGCAACAGCCAGGAGAGGCTAGAATGGGCCCTGTTGGGAGAGGTGGGAGGGGGGGCACTACCCGGAAACAACAGAGTCTAAGAGGGGTCTTAAAGGATGAGAGGCAATCCGCCAAGTACTAGGGAAGCAGGAAGTATGTTCTGTGCAGAAGGGACACCACGTGCCAAAGAAGGGGCCTGGAGAACAGGTCCCAGGCAAGGGCAGTGTGGCCAGGAGGAGGAGCTGGCTGCTCCCCGACCCCCGGACTCTGTGTGTCCTCCGCCCAGGGCTGGCCTGACTCTCCTTTCCCACCCCAGGGAGCACCTCGGCCCTTTTGGACCTCTCAGGCCTGGATCTTCCTCTGACAGGCACCACCTACCCAGCCGTGCCCACCCGCCCTGGCGACCAGGCCAGCCCGGAGCAGCCCAGCACCTCAGTTTCCCTGCTTGATGATGAGCTCATGTCTCTGGGTGAGGAAGGGGCTGGGGCTGGGCCCGGAGTAGGGCAGGCTCAGTTACAGGTGGGGAATGATGCCCCTGGCATATAAGGGAGCTTTCAGAACGTGGTCAGGTCAGCGTGTTCCTCCTCTTCCTCCTCCTACGAGTCCTTTAGAGAATGGGGGTTGGGCATCAGGCCCATTTCACAGCTGAGGAGGCTGAGGCTCAGAGAAAGGAAGGAGATCATGCCAGGTCCTACTGTCGGGGGTGAGGCTGGCCCCACCTCTGATAAGCCAGCCACACCTAGGATCTGGCGGCCTAAGAGAAAACAAAGGGACTTCCCTATAGCAGGTTAGAGCCTAGAATTGGAAGCTACCCAGGCAAAAATCAGCAATCTCCTTGCCCTTGAGAGGAAGAGAAGGGGAGCTCTAGGCTCTGAGCACCAGAAGATCCAGGGAAGCCGAGCTCTGTGACCCGTGCTGGTCCCAGACCAGGCCTACAGTCACCTCAGGCAGGGTCGGGGCTCCTGAGCTTGGCGGGGAAACGGGCTCACCCCTGGGGCAGAGCAGGGGTACCCAGCCGGGCGCACAGTTTTCGAGTTCCCAACTTTCAGGGGCAGCCGCCCCATCTGAGAGCATCGAAGCAAGGGAACCTAGTGCCACCTCCTCACCGTGGCCCTGAACCTGTGACAAAATAGAGGTAGGTGGTCGGGCTTTGTCACAGGAAGCCTTACCCTGTTACAGGCGTCTCAGAGGATATGTTAGGAAAGTGACTTGGAAGCCGAGTCAGACAGTTCTCCTGAGTTGGTTCTGAGGTAAAACCCACACCTGATGGACTCCAAGAAGCGATGGAGGGCTGGGGTCCCAGCGGGACCACCACGCTGCTGTCTTAGCCCTGCTCCCTTCAGCCCAGGACATAGTGAGGCCAGTGCCCCTGGTTTACAGATGCCAGAGCCAGGCTCCGAAAAGCTGAGCTACTTGCCCAAAGGGCCACGAGCTTTGGGTGAGACCCTCCGATTCTGAAGCCTCCCTGGGAACCTCTCTGCTGCTCTGACTCAGCCGTCAGCCAGGACAGGGAAGCGAGGGCTTGGAGTGCGGAGAGGAGACGAGGGAGACCGCGGACCAGGTTGAGGTCCCCTCTGCGGGCTAGTCAGCCAGCACCCCTTCCCTGGGAGGCTCTGACCGCAGGGCATCCCTGGGCCTGCATCGGAATCCCTCCACCCACCCCCTTTGCCTTCGGAGCTGGGGGAGGCTCAGAGAGAGCCCAGCCGGTGCTGGGCGGCAGCTAACTGACCTGGCGGCGGGTGTGTGAGCCCAGCCCCCACCCCACCCCCAGGCCGCTGCTGCGGCGAAGCCACCTCCCCGTGAGAGGCTCTGCGTGCTCTGCACTTCCTGTCCCCATGGCGCTTCAGCAGAGCCCTGAGCCTCCAGCTTCCTCTGCTTGCTGCTCAAAGTGAAGAAAATGTGGGAACCAGAACCCGAAGTGGCAGGGCAGCAGCCGCCCAGCTCCCCAGCTTGGGGCAGTGGAGGAAGCCTGGGACCACAAAGGGGCTCGTCCTGAACGGTTCTCTGTGGCAGGAGGGGTACGGGGTGGGGGTGGGGCAGGCCGCCCAGGCTTCCCGTCTGCCAGAGAGGGCGTCCGGGCGCCTCTGCGTCTGAATTGTCCGATTCATTAGCAGCAGCAGTCCTCGAGGCAGATGCTGCTGTTGTCTCGTCCTACAGGCGAGGCGCAGGAAGGTTGTCACCAGCCCGGGGTCACAGCTGAGTGGCAGAGCTGTGTTTGAACGCCAGTCTTCGGGCCCTTCTCTGCTCACGTCCAGACACTGGGCTTTCCAGTGGTGTGATCGTGGGCAGGTTGCTTAACTCCTCTGAGCGCCTGCTTCCTCATCCCTAAGGGAGGCGTGAGAAGCCCACACCCTCCTTCTAAGGTTGCCTGAGGATTGAGGCCCGTGTCTCAGTGCCTGCCCAGGGGTGTGGGAGCTGATAGTCTCCATTGTTGGCCTTGGTCTCAGGCATGTCCGGATGAGGAGGCCCAGCAGTTGTAGCCTCCCTCACCTCTGCCCATCAGGTAGCACGTCAGCTTGTTCCGTCAGAAAGTTGTGTCTGACTCTGTGACCGCCCATGGACTGCAGCATGCCCAGCCTCCCTGTCCCTCACTGTCTTATTCAGGCTTTGCTACGAACAAGACAGAGGTCAGACTGGCTGGTGACCCACCCCCCTCTACTGACCAGCAGGCAATGAGCAGCCCCTTCCAGAGGGGCCACTGCCCTCTTTGCCCCCATCAGCCAACCTTTTGGCACATGCCAGGGCAGACAAGGCCTTTTATGTCTGCCCCGGCCATCATCCGCATGGTGTGCTCAGGGCCCCTGCGGCCCAGCCCAGGGTTGCTCAGAGTCTAGGTCAGGCCTGGGCCCAGCGCCCCTCTGTGCTCAGAGGATATCCCTCGAGTCAGTCATTGGGCGGGCACAGGATGCTGACTCCTGCCGCCTGGATCTGTGAGTCTACGGACCTCACATAGTGTCCCCCACCCCCCGCGCCAGCTCCCACCTGCCCTCTGTCGAACGAAGGTGACCTCAACCCTGACCTCAGTGGTTGAGTTGGCCTCTGAGTGGCAGGAGAGGAAGCATGTTTGGGCCGGTGAATGGGCCCTTGGGATCTTTGGTTTCTACTTCTCTCTGCTGGTTCCCTCTGAGACAGGGAGGGGGTTTGTCCCCTTTGAGCTGAACCTCTTGGAAGAGGGGGGCACAGGGGGAGGGTGGAAGCCAGGAAACCCTGACCTGACAGAGCCCCCGCCCCCCACCCCCGGCTCCCTTGCCTCTGCTCACAAATCCAGCTCCTTTCCCTCTGTCTCGCTTCCTTGTAGGCCTCGGCGACCCCACACCCCTCTCTGGCTTGGATGGTGCTGGGTGGAACAGCTTCCAGGTAGGAGCGGTCCTTCCCGAGGCGGGGCAGAGCAGCTGGGACAGGCAGCCTGAGGGGGCTGGGATGGGAGGGGTGGTCAGGAGGGCCCAGGGCAGGGGTGGTGGGGCTGGGGGGCACCCATCCCAGAATGGAGGGAGGTGGGCGGGCCTCTCCTCACTTCCAACGCTCTTCGCTGAGGTCTCAGCCTTTGGTTTCCTTGGGTTGAGCTGGGGGCTCCCTGTTCCTTTCTTGTGACTCTGAGGTCCATGAAATGGGATGGTTTCTTGAGTAGAACCCCAGATCAGACTTGGCCACCAGTGGCCCTGGAGTGAGGGGCGCAGGCCCGCAGGAACATCGTCTGCACCTCTACCGCTTCCCCAGATGTCACCTGCCAGGAGTGGAGGGGGCCTCAGGGCGGCACCGGGTGACCCAACACCTTTTCAGCGCAGCCTCACCCCCCTGCATCCTTTGTACATTCAACAGTCGTCTGATGGCATGGAAGCCTCAGCCCCAACTCCAGCCCCCAGTGTGGACAGTGGGCCCCCAGCGCAGACATCCCCGCCCGCGAGCAGTGGTCTGGATGACCTTGACCTCCTGGGGAAGACCCTCCTGCAGCAGTCGCTGCCCCCGGAGTCGCAGCAAGTGCGGTGGTGAGGGCCCACCCTGCCCAGACCCTCCCCTGCCCCGGGCCCAGCAGAAAGGGCCCTGGTGCTGGTTTGCTCAGCCAACGGCATGGCCAGAGCACCACCGCGTGCCAAGTGCTGCCCGGGGCTCGAGGGACACGGCAGTGACTAGGGCAGGCGCAGGGCCCATCCACCAGGGCATGGACCGTATGAGAGACAGGTCCGTGCCCCACTCACATGCCCTCCCCCAGGCCTGCCGGCCCCTGAGAAAGACCCAGAGGGCTGCCAGGAAGGAGGGCCCTGAACCCCCAAGTGGGTGGGAGAAGGACGAGCTGCCTGCTCCAACGTGAGACCACAGCCAGAGAGACGGGGTGTCTGAGCCAGCCATCAGGGACCACAAGGACCCCAGCCATTCCTGTGCCCCTCATCACCTGGCCATTGAAGACTTACCACTCAATGCACCATCCCCCCAATAAGGGAGAAGCAGCAGCCAGCCCCCCGGCTCACACTCCGGGACCTGCAGAATAAAAGCAGCTGCAACTTGCCCAGCTCCAGTGCCGCCGGCCTGCTCCACTCCGTGTCCCCTGAGCCCCCCGGGCCTCCGCAGCAGCCCACGCCCACCGAGCTCTCGCTGGCCAACATCACTGTGCCTCTGGAGTCCATCAAACCCAGTGAGTAGGGAAGCGGCGCGGCAGGGGCCGGCCCAGCTGGGGCAGCTCCCTGCCCCCCCCCTGCTCCCCCCACCTTGTGCTGTCAGGAGCTAGATCGGGGGCAGCAGGTGGGAAGGTGGGCTCCCCTCCTAACCCTGCCCAACTTGGTGGGGGCTCTGGATGAGACCCTTCCCCTTCCTAGGATTTAGCTTCCTCACCGGTCCCGGAGTGTCACAGAACTGCATTTGAAACTCCAGGATGGAGAATTCCTTGGCAGTCCAGTGGTTAGGGCTTGGCACTTTGACTGCCAAGGGCCCAGGTTTGATCAAAGATCCCACCAGCCATGCAGCATGGCCAAAAGAATAAATAAACTCCAGGGTGACTCCAGGGGACTTCTTACGGGTGGCCCCTGCATTGCTCCCCGGGAAGGGCAGGGCCAGGACACAGGGAGATCTGGAGGGAGGTCTCTCCAAGACCATAGGGATAAAGACCCAGGTCTGAGCCTGTGCTTCTGCCCAGGAGCAAAAGAGGGGCCACTTACCGTACTAGACTATGACCAGGCAGAGGAAGACTGGCCAGTCTTCTCAGTGCTCACCATCTTGTAAGCTCACGATGACAAGGGCAGTCCTTGGGAGCTGGTTAGTGGTCTTACACTGTCTTAGCAGCCTGGAGGACCCTGAACTCAGAGAAACAGAGTGACTGTACCTGGGTCACACAGCGAGAGCGTGCCCACAGCTCATGCACAGCCCTTCTACTCCAGCTTGCTAGGAGCAGCCACGCGGCACTGCGTGAGCCCGACTAGGACTCAATTCCAGGGTGGGCGTCCTGCCTCCACCATCATGCTAGAAGTCCACCTGCCCATCTTGGCCCCAGGCTATACCCCTGACTGCACTGCTGCCCAGGGTCAAGGCAGCACACTGGGTCTGGGTCTTCTCATTCATTCCCAGCAGAGCAGCGAGCCCTGGGGTCAGCCGGGTGTGAAGGGCTGATCGGATGTGCTTGGGCTCAGGCTTGGCACCCCGCCCCTGCCCCCTGCCCCCTTCAACCTCTTCCCGTCTCCCCTGCCAGGCAGCATCTTGCCGGTGACCGTGTATGACCAGCATGGCTTCCGGGTCCTCTTCCACTTCGCGCGAGACCCACTGCCTGGGCGCTCCGACGTGCTGGTGGTGGTGGTTTCCATGCTGAGCACCGCCCCCCAGCCCATCCGCAACATCATTTTCCAGTCAGCTGTCCCCAAGGTGACATGGGTGTGCCTCCCTCCTCAAAGCAGGGTGATTTGGGGCTAGATGGGGAGCCAGCTCTCCAGAGCAGGGGGTAGGGTCTCTGTCTCTCTCAGGGAGTCAGGGGGTAGGAGGGAACCCAAGGGCAGGGCCCTAGGGCCCTCAGGGTGGAGCTGACAGGAGGCTGGCCTTGTTCTTGAGGGACTGGGGACAAGAAGCCAGGGCTAGCTGTCCCCAATCTGTCCTCTGACCCTCCACAGGTCATGAAGGTGAAACTTCAGCCACCCTCAGGCACGGAGCTGCCAGCGTTTAACCCCATCGTCCACCCCTCAGCCATCACGCAGGTCCTGCTCCTTGCCAACCCCCAGAAGGTGAGGGGCCCAGCTTTGACGGCGTGGCCGTGGGGTGGGGGCAGCCTCTTCTCCCGCTCTGACCCTCTGCCTTCGCCATCTCTGCTTCAGGAGAAGGTTCGCCTCCGCTACAAGCTCCTCTTCACCATGGGCGACCAGACCTACAATGAGATGGGTGACGTGGACCAGTTCCCCCCACCAGAGACCTGGGGGAGCCTCTAGAACCGAGAGGGCTGGGGAGAGGAGGGGCCACAGGACTGGCTGCTGCCAAGCCTAGGTGGAGGCCGTGGTGGCCTGGGACACCCTGTGTTCCCACGGCCATATTCCCCTGGGCCTGGTGCTTCTCCCTCACCCCTGCACCCCCCGTCATCCTTGCCCCTTCCCCTACGGAGCCAAACCCAGCAGGAGGCTGGGCCTGGGTTTGCACTGGTGGGGACTGTCATCACAGGTGGGAGCCTGGAGCAGGGAGGGACCACACGGCCCTGGAAGGACTTGGGGTTGTGGGGGAGAAGCATGGCTGTCGGGCAAGGGCCAGGGCCTCAGGCCTAGCCCAGACCCTAGCCTGGGGAGGGTTCCTCCCTGCCTGTCTCTTATGCCTTATGGGAAGGCCCAGCCATAACTCGGGGCCGTGCTGGAGCCGGGACCAGCTCAGGCCTCCTCCATAGGAACCGGGTGACTGTGGGGGTGACGCCTGTACCCCCAGCCCTTTGCACTCTTGGGTTTGTGGTTTGATTCTCTTAGCTTTTCTCTCTGAGTGGCCCTGTGGTCACCGTCTCAGGGGGCCCAGTGCAGGGAGCCCCCCACCTGTCCCCAGCCCTCCTGGGGATCTCACTCTACCTGCCTGGCCCCTTTGCTGTCAGGCCTCTGGGTGGGGAGACTGGGGGTCATGTGACTGCTGGCCCAAAGGTAATGCCCCAGGGGGTGGCCCCAGCTGGGGGCTCCTGGGCTCCTGGCCAAGGGAGGTCCTACACTGGAGTTCTTGCGTGTCTCTTTCATTCATTGGGCTTTGTTCACCCATCTCTCCATGGGCAGAAGTGGGGTCGGTGTGTGAGTGAGAGTAGGAGTATTTATGGAAATAAAACGTCCTTTTTCCTGGACCAGCTGCTCTTGTGGCCCTTCTGAGAGAGAGGGAGTCAGGAAGGATCCAGGCGTGCGAGGTCCCTGGGGGCTGCCCCGCAGACTCCTCTGCCTCTCCTGGGAGATCAGGCCACAGTTCCCCTCCTCGCTGCTCCTGATCCCGGCACCGGAAGAGGCCCTGCTCAGGGGCCTGTGGCCACTGCTGAGTCACCAGAGAGGACCCGGGGGGCTGTGGGGGGCCCAGAGCCATCCCAGCTGGAAGTGAGTGGCTGCTTGGGCCTGCCAGGAGCCCCAGCTGCCGCAGACACTGAAGGGGAGGCCCCTGGCCACTCACTACTTCCTCTTGCTGCACTCAGCCAGAAAACAACTGCAGCGCAGCATCACCCGAGGCTCCTGCCTCAGCTTTTCCTTGCCAGAGACTGCTCCGGAGGCGCAGGCACCACCAACCGCAGCCTCTTTCTGCAGAGGCCCAGGGACCTCGTGCCATTCCCAGGGACAGCACACTCCCCCTGGGTTTTCGGGGTGTTTCTCTTCACTGGGAGGCTGGGGTCATGACCTGGGGCGTGGCTTGGAGACTGGCAGCTGAAGGAGCCAACCAACGTGCAGCAGAGCCGTTGAAAGGCGTGGCCGGGGGCCTGCCCTGTGGCGGGGAGCCGGCTCTCCGTTCCCTCTGCGCTCAGCTCACAGACATCTGGGGAAGCCTGCCCGCCACTTCTCTTTCCTAGAAGATGGGGGGAGTTCTGCTCTGAAGAGTTTTCACTTTTGTCTAACCCAGTGCTTCCCAAGTCTGAATTTGGGCGCCTAACACCGTCATGTGCACACTGGGGGGGAGGGCTGGAGGCCAGCCCAGCCTGTGTGCTCCTCTCCATTCAGCAAATGAGGGCTCTCCTCCGGGCCAGCCGACACCCGACGCACAGGCCAAGGGCTTCTCCACGGGAAGGGCGAGGGAGCAAGGCCTCTGAGCCGGCATCTCCAGCTCCTCACAGTCGGGAGCCTCCTGTCAGGTCCGCCTGGTGTGACCACCATCCCACATCTGGGCCTGCAGACACCGTGACCTCAGGCTCCTGGCCTCCTTTCTGTTCGCCTCCCTACTCTGGGCAGGAGTCTGCCTAACATTTAAACGATGCCTCAGAAAGATAATCTCTCCTTGGAATGTTCTTTTAAGAAGAATGTTATTTTACATGAGACAAAACCCTGCTCCCTGTAGCATGCCCCTAGGGTCCCAGAAACTCCCTTCAGAAGCATGTGTTCCACAAGCCATGGAAGGGTGGTTGTGGGCCTGGGCGCCAGCGTGACTGCCAGCTGGGAGCCTGGGACCTCTGGCTGGCTGTGTGACTTTGAAGAAGGTGCTTCCTTCTCTGGCCTTTAGGTTCCTTGTTTGAAAAGGTGGGAGGGACCCAGTGAGCTGTAAGGCCCGTCTGAAGAATCCTTGGGCCAAAGGGCCCCCCGGCCGTCGACTTCCAGTGACCACAGGGACAAGGAGATCTGTTCAGTCTTTTGGACCACCCTTCCCTGATCCAGTCTACCCATCAGCTGTCTGCCTGTCCGTCCCGCCAAGTGCCTCCTGAGCGGCCCTGTCATCAGACCCCTGAGCCAGGAGCATGGCCACCGGGAGCTGGAGGTGCCCCATGAGCCTGCATCTGTCTGAGGGGCCAGACAGATCTAATCAGAGGAGGAGACCCTTTGCCTCCACCACCTGTTGCATCATCCCCAAATACGGGGTGTCCATCTAGACAGGTCCAGAGCCTCTGGAGCCCTCAGGCTGGGAGAGGGGGACACAAGGAAGTATTCTTTACCTCCTTAAGGGTGACCCCCCCCTCCACCCCAGGAGCAGTGGGACTTCCCAGGCCTCAAAGCCACACTTCCACTTCTTTTTGTGCGGCTGGAGGCAGCTGCTTTCCTAAGAGCAAGCACAGAACACTGCTCATCCCTTCATAGCAGCCAAGAGAGCCAGAGGCCACCGCTCGCCCAGAGAGCCTGTCTCTGCTGTTCCCTGGTGCCCCTGCCCGCATCCTCCACAGGCCCCCTGGCAGGGTTCCAGACCAGCAAGGTAGATAAGAGGGAAGCCGGCCTAACCTGGTGCCTTGCTAGGCCTGGAGCAAGCAGCCCCTCCCTCCAGCCCCATGAAAGTAAGAAACTTGAGGCTTGGGGAGCTTATCCAGTGCCTGAGGGCACATGTTAGGGCCCAAATGTGACCAGCAGTCCTGGGAGGCGACCACCCTGACTGCACATCACCACCCTCCTCACCACTGGCAAGTGCTGTCCCCCAGGGACAGGGTTGAGGGCACATGCTCTCCAGGGCTGTCGGTGTGTCCCTGTCCCAGCTCCACCCAGGATTTCCTGGGAAGTCCTTTTGGCTTGAGGACATTTCTGGAGCCGCAGAAATGACGGCCACCTGCTTAGCTGCTCCGGGCAAAAGCCTCTACATGGAGGGCAGCACCGATCGGGCCACAGACACTTTGTCAAGTGTCTAAAAGGGGATGTTTTTGCTCGGTTCTGTGGCCCCACCGCTGACCCCTGCTACCACCACCTCGACGCCAGCCACTGGCCTCCCTGCCCACATCCTGCTGGAGCTTCAGCAGCGGGCGCTTCCTAGGCCGTCGCAGGTTTTTGCAGACAATCTGCACTGAAGCTGCTGAGCCTCCTGAAGCAGCCACGGGGATGGAGGCGGGAGGCGGGGGTGGGCAGGGACCAGCATTTCTGGAGTCTCCAGGCAGTGCAATCTGGCGCAGCAGGAGAGCACGTGGCTGTTTTGGAGCCTGTCGAATCTGCTTCCTAACTTGGCTTCTACCATTTAGCCGGCCAGGGACGTGGGCCAGGAGCCTGGGTCTACTCACCTATAAAACCCCATGATCCCAACCTCACTGGAGAAGATGCTAGAGTATCTGACAATAAGTGCCATTGTCCCCACCTAGCAGGACACAGAGGGCAAGGGGGCAACTGAGGCAGGAATGGGGGTTAAAGGATCTTTCTGTTCCTGACTTTGCAGGCTGAATAATAAACAGGGTCAGGCACTGTCTTATGCATTTTACATATCAATTTATTTAACACAACACCCTATCAGGTAGATGCTATTATTATCCTCAAGTGAGCAAAGGCTCAAGAAGGTGAACTGCCTCAGCTCAGGTCACCCTGCTAGTGAAAGGCTGAGCTCAGCTAGCCAGCTCTGTCCACACCAGTAAGCTCTCTTCCTGCCGTCTCTGGGCTGGAAATAAATGTCCATTGATGCAGTGTCTTCACTTGCCATTCAAGTTGGCTGTTTGTTGAGCTCCTGTGACTGTGGCACGTTGTTCAGCCCCTGAATTCAGCGTGAGCCAGACAAGACGCAGGACCTTGTCAGGAGGACACTCCAGCAAGTCATTGGCTGGTGACCTCTGTGGTCCCACATATGCAGTTCTAAAACTATGATCTCAACATTCACAGATTGAAACCTCTGTGTCTGAAAGTCTCTGATGACAACATCCTTCGAAGGAACAGCTTATGCTCCAACTACAAGGGCTTCAAACCTTTATATGATTGTTGATGATCTGAGTGTGCTCGAGCTTAAATATACCCTAAAATATACCCCTTACCCAGCTAAAAGGTATGTCAGTGCCACCCAGGCTGGACACAGAGAAGCCACGTGTCCTTCCTGCAAAGGCTCTTAGCTTTGGTTGGAGGGGAGTCTGAAGCCCAGAGGGGAGGCTCAGAGTTCAGGTGGCCTGATTATATGGCTCAGTTGTTTCCACAGCAGCTGCTACTACAGTCCACAGGGACTGAACCCTCCTTAAGCTGGAGCTGGGGGCTCAGCCTCAGGCAAAACTAGGAAGGACAGAGGTACAAGCCAGGACTTGCCCTCAAGGCCCTCCAGAACAGCTGGGGAAGTGATCAAGTCCAGGCCAGTATGGTCTGGGCCAAAGGCAAGGCTGGAACAGGGTGGGGACCCCACGTAGCCTGGAAGTTTCCCAGATGCCAGGACAGTGGCACCTGGTGTCAAGTTGCTGTCTCGGGAGTCTTCTGTTTCCTAATTCTGCACATAGCTGGTTGCAACCACTGCAGAGACAGGGGAAACTGAGTCACCATGAAGTCCAGTGGCGAAGGTGGAGAGGCTAGAACTAGAACGCAGACATTGCAAAGAGCAGCCCCACATCTTAAGAAGCCAAGTCTACATTGGACTCTAATGTCTCTTTCCATCAAGGCATTTGTCAAGCCCTGCCTTCCTCGAGAATCCCCTCCTGGGAGGCCTTCCAGCTGGGAGAAAGGAAGTAGGCAAGGAAACCTAGCCTGGGATTGATCCCCTCATCCTGGCCTGAGCCTTTGATCCAACAACCTCCCAACTTCCGGTCAGGATTCCACATTCAGCTTCCCTTCGCAGCCCCTCCCCACCTTGCTAGGGCCTGCCTGCTCTCCCTCTGGAGAGTGGAGGGGCAGCCAGTGTCCAGCGCATGCCCACTGTGTGCCAGGGCCCATGCTGGGCACTGGGAATGTGTCAAGATGTCCAAATCGGAGGCTCTCCTCTCAGAAGTCCCCAGTCTGCCCTCTCACACACAGTAGTAGGTGCTCGAGTAACCCTCAAAGTGAACGGAAGCTCTAACAAGACAGAGAGCAGTGAGTCAACCAGTCTACCTCAGGCCCCCCGCCCCCCACCCTCGGAGCTCTTGATGCCCAATGGGTGCAGAGGTTCAGAGTAAGGAGAGCCTAGTGTTTCCCAAAGGCGCTCATCTTGAGTTTACTAGCAGTTATGGAGCATCTCCCTGGAGAAGGACATGGCAACCCACTCCAGTATTCTTGCCTGGAGAATCCCATGGACAGAGGAGCCTGGTGGGCTACAGTCCATTGGGTCGAAAACAGTTGGACATGACTGAAAAGTGACTGAGCCCACATGCATGGAGCATCTACTGTATGTCCAAGTCTGTTTTGGGTGGAGGGTCAAAGAAATAACTACTACTGAGTTTGGGGAGGTCAGAGCATCAGCCAAATCACTGCCTCACAAGAAGTCAGGGCTGAGGAAGTCCTCCCAAAGAAGGGACTTCATAGATGGAGGAAACTCCATGTTGAGGCCGGAAGAGAGCAGGGTGGTAGCGAGCTGCTCTGAGAGGGTCTGCCGTGGCTGAAGGAAGGTGGGCACCCCCATGAAGGGGGCGATGGGAGCAGAAACATGGGTGCTGCAGGAGCAGACAGGGGTATCTCGTCCACTTTTCCAGGTGGGCAGGGTCAGGACAGCTGACCCACAGGCCATTAGAGGCAGTGAGGCCAGAGTTCCAGGGACTGGTCCGAAGGCACACCACAGCCAGGTGGCCCCAGGACGCCAAAGCGTCCAGCCAATCATCTTCCAGCAGGGGAGAGGAGGCTGACCTTTGGCTCCAGGTGGCCAGGGGGTCCTTTGGGAAATGAGTGGTAGGACAGCATCCTTTTGGGAAGCCCGGATGGACCTGTTCTTGGTCTCTGACTCCTAAGCATGGAACCCTGTGTCTCTTTTAAGAGGGTGCGGAGGTTATTTATACCTTGGCCCGCAGGCCAGTGGGTGGGGCAGGAACCCAGGAAGCCAAGCCGGGCTGGCGCGGTGGCAGGAACGGGCTTACCTGCTTCCCGCCACCGGGGCTGGGCGGGGCGGAGCGGGGAGGAGGGGCCGCGTACACAACCTGTGGATCGCCGGACGGCCGGCGGACCCACACTCGCCGGGACCGGCGAGGGGGTGGCCTGGAGGGGCCTGGAAGACGCGAAAAGAGCGAGAAAACAAACTTGGGAGAGAGGAGTGACCTGGGGGCCGGGGGCGGAGTCGCCAGCGGGGGAGGAGAGAGCGAGCCGCAGCGAGAGCGCGGCTGGCCCAGGAAGCGAGGAGCGCCGCCCACCCATCCGGGGCGAGAGAGGCGCCGCGGGCCGAGGCAGGCTGGGCCGGGGGCTGCCGGGCCCTCGACCCCCACCGTGACCCCGCGGCCTCTAGCCCGCCCCCAAGATGATGAAGAGGCAGCTGCATCGCATGCGGCAGCTGGCCCACACTGGCAGCCTGGGACGGTGAGTGTCAACTCCTTCCTCCCAGCCCCATCCTCACCCCGGCAGGACTCCGGGGAGGCCGAGGAGAGCTGGACAGCCACCACCAGCTGGACTGGCCACCTCTCCTCCTTCCTCCGAAAGCCACCCCCACCTCCAAAGCAGAAGGAGCAGGCCCTGGCCTTTGGGGCAGGGGAACCCCCAGCTCTCATTGGAGGGTGGGTGGAGGAGGATCAAGGATGTTGGGTCTTCTCTGTCTCTAGGAGCCCCCAAGTGGATGGTCCTCCCCGACCTCACTTGTCACCTCTGTACAATGGGGATGTTAACCATATCTGGTTGCCCAGGGGAGGTGAGGGTCGCTCAGGGACCCAGACTTGGGTGGAGCAGAAGACACAGGGTCCAGGCAGCAATGGAAGGAGGGGCTTGCCCCTGTCCTGCCCTGCGCCTCTTCCTGCCACCGCCAGCCCAGAGGCCACCTGTTTCTCTGTCTTGCTTCTGCTTTTCATAGCCTCAGGTGGAAACATCCCCAAGTCCACAAACCTCTGGGCTGGTGGGGTGGAGGCCGGAAATATAGGGAGCTCCCAGAGCCTGCCTTCTCTCCTCTTACCCCCACGCTGGGCAGGGGTCCCCCCAGGGGAGGGGACTGGGTATCCACAGACCCGCACAGGTGCCTGTGCAAGCGTGGGCAGCTAGGCCACCTTTCTCTGAGCCGCAGTGTGCGCACATGTCCTGGGCCCCTGCCTGCCACCGCAGTCCAGAGTCCTGTGTGACCAGCAGCTCGGGAGTCTGAGCTTGCACACTTCCCGTTCTTGGGGCCAGCCCAACCCTCCTCTCCCCGGGTCAGCAGAAGAGAGAGACTCCTCCAGTCCCCGCTTCAGTTTCGTCCGCCCTGTCTTAGGACACAGCCCTGGGTGGAGGAGGAAAAAGCCCAATATCCCATTCCCGCCCCCACGGAATGTGTTCCGACTGGGATTGAGCAGGCGGGCCACCCAGGGCGGCCTGACTGGGAGGGGCACTGGGTGGAACTGGGGTTTAGGTGCCCTGACTGGGGAGGGGGGCAGGAGGAGGCAGGGGGTTTCCTAACTTGGGCCCGCTCAGCAGAAGCTCTCTCCCCACCGCAGCACCCCGGAGACTGCAGAGTTCCTGGGTGAGGACCTGCAGCAGGTACGTGCCTGGGCCGGCAGCGGGTGGCAGGGCAGGTCCATACAGGCTGTCTTCGGAGGCCCGGGCGGGGATGCCAGTGGGGGCCCCGAGTTGAGTCATTCCCACGCTGTTGGCCATGGGGTCCCCAAGAGGAGCGAGAGAAAGATAGTTTCTGCTCTGGGGGAGAAGAGGGCAGTGGGGCATGGGGGATGACAGCCCCCCATGATCTGTAACCCCAGGTAGAGCAGCGGCTGGAGCCAGCTAAGCGAGCAGCCCACAATGTCCACAAACGGCTGCAGGCCTGTCTGCAGGGCCAGAGCGGGGCGGAAATGGACAAGCGGGTGGTAAGTGGGGGTCCCAGTGAGGAGGGGCCTGGGCAGGACATCTTGGTCCAGTGGGACAGTGAGGTCGGGGCTGGGTTCTCCCTGCTAGTCTGAGTCTCCGGCACCAATGGGGTGGAGGTTGCTCTGTCCCAAGGCCCTTCCGGCCCCTCACTCATGAGGTCCTATTTCTTCCCCTCCCCTTCTTGACCCCGCCCCCTTAGCACCAATCCTCTGCACCAAAGCCAGGCCCCTGATCACCTGAACTTCTCTTTCCAGTCAGCACTGAGCAGGTGCTCTCTACTGGGCAGCCTGTGAGGGCTTCCTGAAGGAAGCGGTATTTGAACTGGATTTTGTTACTCACTAGTATTAATCAGCAGCCAGTATTTATGGACTGATTACGGCTAGTCTGTTGCTAAGATATGTCCATGCCTTGCCTCACTGAATGCCGAAAACAGCCATGGGAGGAGGCTGCCTTTATTAGCACTGTCTGCAGGAGGAAATGGAGATGGAGAGGTAGAGTGACTCGTTTAAGGTCACACAGCTAGTACGTGGCGAAACCGAGATTTGAACTCTGGTCTCCCTGACCTAAACTGCTGTGCTCTCCACAACACTAGCTAGGGACGTGGGAGGCATGTTTTATAATCAGACAACCATTCAGTATGGCCAGAGCAATAGGGAGCCATGGAGAGTTTTGAATTCCTCAGAAGCTAGGTCAGCAACAGAGGTTCTGCGGCAGGGGTAAGGGTCCACTCCGAGGCTGCGTTCCTGGCTCCCCACTCCCCCTCTAACTGTGCGTGGACCTCAGGTGAGCTCCATGTGCCCTGTCTTTAGTGTTCCATCCAGTGACAGGACTCGGGCTTTCCTTCCTGCCCAGTCAAGTGGCTTCTGGGAGGGGGCAGCCAGCAAGCATGCACACTCGTGCTCACAGCCATCCTGCCCCTCCCTGCAGAAGAAGCTTCCCCTCATGGCTCTGTCCACCACGATGGCCGAGAGCTTCAAGGAGCTGGACCCCGATTCCAGCATGGGGTGAGCACGGACAGGGCCCTCAGCCCTCAGCTGGAGATGCCGAGGAGGGATCTGGGCTGGGAGAAGGTCCCGGTCAGAGAGGGCACCTGCTGTGGACGGATGACCAGGCTGGGGAGCGGTCCTGGGCTGGGAAGTGTCCAGGTCAGTGAGGGCAGCCAGGTCTGGGAGGGCATTGGGTTCGGTGAAGATGAAGGAGAGACAGAACAGACAGGAGGTCGGGACTTCCCTAATAGTCCAGTGGTTAAGACTCCACACTGCCCATTCAGGAGCTGCAGGTTCGATCCCTGGTCTGAGAACTAAGATCCCACATGCCATGCACATGGTCAAAAGAATTTTGTAAAAAAGAAGAGACAGGAGGTGATAGGGAGGGAGAAGGCCCTCAGTCTCTCCAGAGATGGGGTGAGGAGCTGTGGGAGCCCGGGCCCACTGGGTTCTGTATCCACAGGAAGGCCTTGGAGATGAGCTGTGTCATTCAGAACCAGCTGGCCCGCATCCTGGCTGAGTTTGAGATGACCCTGGAGAGGGACGTACTGCAGCCACTCAACCGGCTGAGCGAGGTGACCCCCCTCCCCACTTTCTGCCCCCAGCCCCCCCAGCCCCCACCTCTGCAGCCTGCTGAACCCCCACCCCCACCTCCTACCCACACCTGCCCCCAGGAGGAGCTGCCAGCCATCCTCAAGCACAAGAAAAGCCTGCAGAAGCTGGTGTCTGACTGGAACATGCTCAAGAGCAGGTGGGAGCCACAGCCTCAAGGGGGGTGGTTCACGCCTAGGTCAGCGTACAGATGTGGCCACAGAGGTTCAAGACCCCTCCCCCACTAGGAGGACACTGCAGGGTCCTTAGGGGTACAGTGTGTGTCCTTGTGCACACACCTGGGGCTTAGGAAGACATATGGTGATGGTGCATGCGAGGGGGCCTCTGTGCACGTGCTTGTGCCTGCTGGAGGTAACCCCAAAACCTGGGACAGCCATCAACAACCCTCCAAGAACCCTGGAGGGCCCCCACCGTCCACTCTGGAGGTATGTGGCTAGGATCACCGAGCCCACCACCAGGGGGGCGCCCCAAAGCTGTGCCCGCGCCAAGCCGAGACCCCAGACCTGTGCCGCCCTGGGATTTATGTCTTATCAACCCCCAGAATCCTGTGGGGTCGGGCAGATGGAGGGGCACTTGGCTCTGGACATGCCATGGGGACAGTGACCATCCCACCTTGGGATGCTCCTCAGGCTGAGTCAGGCGGCTAAGAACTCTGGCAGCAGTCAGGGCCTGGGCAGCGGCCCGGGCAGCCACACCACCACAGCCAACAAGGTGGAGACGCTGAAGGAGGAGGAGGAGGAGCTGAAGAGGAAGGTGGAGCAGTGCAAGGTGAGGGGCACTGGCGGCTTCCTGGATGTGCGGGTGGCGGGGGTGGGTGCCGTCCCCACTTCACAGGTGACGAGAGGTGACGCGACCTGCCCCAGGCCACGTGGCTAGGAAGCAGCCGAGCCAGGATTTGGATCCAGGCTGCCAGGCTCCAGGGTCTGTGTACTCAGCCGTGACCTGGTAGCTGCTTCTGTCCGTATCATGCCTATAACACCTGGGCAGGAGGGGACGGGGAGGAGGGTGGGAGGGGAGAATCTTGGCGTGTTGGCTGAGTGAATGAATGGAGGGTGAGTGAATGAAAGAGTGGTGAGTGATACAGAGCACTGGGCTGAGGATATATGGACACAGAAGAGGAACAGAAGAGCCCCTCAAGGGTTCGGAGGGGTTCCCGTGGGCTGGCCCAGGAGCAAACCTTGGCAGAGCAAGAGCAGAGTGGACTCCGACCTTCCCATACAACTTGGGCAAACCTCTACCCGCTCCAAGCTTCCCCAGCAGGCCCCAGCCTCCCTGGTACAAGCCCTGCTCTCTTTGTCCCCAAGGACGAGTACTTGGCCGACCTGTACCACTTTGCTACTAAGGAGGACACCTATGCCAACTACTTCATCCACGTGAGTTCAAGACCAGACTCCAGCCACCCGGAGCTCAGGGACCACTGAAATCTCCTACGAGGTGGTGGGAGGGAAGGGTCTGCATTTGTGGCCCCTGGGGGAGACTCCGCTTCCCTCACTTCCCCCTTGTCCCCACAGCTTATGGAGATTCAGGCCGATTATCATCGCAAGTCTCTGAGCTCGCTGGACACGGCCCTGGCTGAGCTGAAGGAGAACCACAGCCAAACAGGTGGGGACCTGACCCCCACCCTGCTCAGGGCCTGTTAAGCTTGCACTCCATCCCGAAAGGCACTGGGGAGCCTGAGATGAATTCTGTCCAGGGGAGGGCTCAATGAGATTTGTGATGGAGAGATTGCTCTGGCGGCTGCATGCAGGATAGAATGAAGGGGCAGGATGGAGACCTGTTAGGAGGCAGAAGGGAAGTGACAGAGGCCTGGGCTGGGATGGAGGCAGTGGAGGTGGGCAGATTGCAGAGATGTGTGGGATGGTTTCAGGATGTCCTGTGGGTGGTCAGGAGGGAGGTGGAAGCCCCCTGACCTGGCTACTCAGAGGTGGGAGGACCCCGGGCCGCTGATCTATCTCGTCCCTGCAGACCCCTCCCCCTCGATGACGGCCGCCCCCTTCTCCAGGGTGTATGGGGTGCCTCTGGGAACCCACCTCCGAGAGCTGGGCCGGGACATCGCCCTGCCCATCGAGGCCTGCGTCATGATGCTGCTCTCTGAGGGCATGAAGGAAGAGGTGGGGTTCGCTGGGGCAGGTGGGGAAGGAGCACGGGCCCCTCATCCGGTCTCACCCCTCCCACACGTTGCCTGGGCCCACACCTCCCACCCATGCCTGTGCTGGGGTGTAATCCCACCATTAGCACCAAGGTGCCAAGAAAAGGCGTGGCCTCCTGCGGTTGAACTGATGCCACCTCCCCCTTAGTGATGCTCACATGGACCGGGCCCTGTGCTGTCAACCCTTTGCACTCCTTGCTCGGTTGCATTACCCCAGTAAACCTTGCAGGGAGCCCTCCATTTTTGCAAGCCCTACCTCTTGCAAAACTGGCTCCATTTTGCAAGAGGTAGACAGAGGCCAGTGGGTAGGCGTGCCCAGTGGCAGGTGAGAAGGTTGGTGGAGAAGCCAGGGAAGCCACGTGAGTCACAGCCCCATGCTGCCCTTATCTGTCCTATGCATCTCGGTCCTGCTAGCACATCGGCTGCTTTCCTGAGGACAGACCTTTAGGAGGTGGATCACACTTCAAAGACAGACCTAGGCTTCAGGACAGTCCTGCGGGGCCTCTTGTCCCTCCACTTCTGTCTAGACTCCAGTCTCCTCATGACTTCCCAGCTGCTCCCAGGCTTCTCGTTTTGTTCAGAATCCTAGACCTTGGAGAGTTGAGAGGAGCCACGGACACGGTGGTGTTCGCTCTGCCCACCAGCCCAGGGGGCCCCTGAGGCCTTTCCCTGGGCCGTGAGTGGGCCAGGGCCTCCCGCAGGGGGTCCTGCCCCCACCCCAACCCTTCCGTGACCCCCACTTGCCCCCCTCTTGCCTCCCAGGGCCTCTTCCGTCTGGCCGCCGGAGCATCGGTGCTGAAGCGCCTCAAGCAGACCATGGCCTCGGACCCCCGCAGCCTGCAGGAGTTCTGCTCTGACCCCCACGCTGTGGCAGGTACCTGCACTGAGGAGCCCTGGGTGGAGGGCCTTCCCCCAGGGCCCTCCCCTGAAGCTGCCTGAGATGGTCCCATGATAGTTTAGCTTAAGGCCTCTGCCAAGAAGACACCTGAGCAGGCATAGGGATCCTTAACATGGGGTCCATCGTCAGCCCCCTGAAACGTGTGTATATTTTTCTGGGGACAAGATCACTAGGCTTCATCATTTTCTCAAGAGCGCTTGTGACCCAAAGAAACGATTCAGTTCAGTTCAGTTCAGTTCAGTCGCTCAGTCATGTCCGACTCTTTGCGACCCCATGGACTGCAGCACGCCAGGCCTCCCTATCCATTGCCAACTCCCGTAGTTTACTCAAACTCATGTCCATTGAGTCGGTGATGCCATCCAGCCATCTCATCCTCTGTCGTCCCCTTCTCCTCCTGCCTTCAATCTTTCCCAGCATCAGGGTCTTTTCAAATGAGTCAGTTCTCCACATCAGGTGGCCAAAGTATTGGAGTTTCAGCTTCAGCATCAGGGTTAGACCTAGACATTTTAGTATGAACAAGAGCTACAGGTTCCTAACATGGAGAGAGCCAGGCGCTGGGGGTAAAGGTGGGGGCTTTGGGGGCTGAGTCTGAGTCCCTGCCACCACTCCAGGTGCCCTTAAGTCCTACCTGCGGGAGCTGCCGGAGCCCCTGATGACCTTTGACCTCTATGACGATTGGATGAGGGCAGCCAGGTGAGGATGAGGAGCGTGTGCTGGGGAGGACTAGGCTGCAGATAGGCCGTTCAGGACAGGCTCACCCGGTCTTTCCTCCTCCCCAGCCTGAAGGAGCCGGGAGCCCGACTGGAGGCCCTCCAGGAGGTGTGCAGCCGTCTGCCCCACGAGAACCTCAGCAACCTCAGGTAGTCCCACCCCCCACCCCACCACCCCTACTACCCGCCTCCTCCCTGGCCTCCCCAGCCAAAGCCCAGCTGGCCCTTCAGGGCTCTGGGCTGGAGTCCTCCCCCCTTGTACTAGGCAATATTTCTGAAAATACAGCTCTGATGTATTAACCATGTGTTTTTAATACTAGACGTTGAACTGAACATATAGCTTGAACCCTGAAGCTACCCCACCCAATGGCTTTAGATCGTTCTTCTGCCACCCTGTGGTCCTGGGCTAGCAATTTAATTCTCTGTGCCTTGGCGCCCTCACGTGGAAGACATGGAACATAACAGTCCCAGCTCTGTAGGGCGGCTGGGGGGTTCGCAACTTAGTGCCCGCAACGGAGGTGGTGTTCAATAGGTCGGCTGGTGTAACTAGTAAAAAAATGTTTAAATGTCCCATGTGGTGTCTTTGCTGCTCTTTGGAAACCCTGGGTTGGGAAGGTCTCAGGTCTTGGGGGCATCCATGGGTATTCATGGCCTAAGATATCCGGCCGCTGGTCCAAGCCTCCTTCCCACCCCCCAGGTATCTGATGAAGTTCCTAGCACAGCTGGCTGAGGAGCAGGAGGTGAACAAGATGACACCCAGCAACATCGCCATTGTCCTGGGGCCCAACCTACTGTGGCCCCCTGAGAAAGAAGGGTGAGGGGCTGTGGATTGGGGGAAGGTGGCAGTCTTGCCCCCGTTTCAACATCTGTTTATTTTCCCCCTGGGCCCCAGTTTCTCCATCCTTGGAGTGGGTTGAGCAACTTCTATTGTCAAGGCTGCTGTGAGAATCATGGGATCATGGACCCCACAGGGCTTCAGAGATAGACATTCTGGGTAATGGCTTTAATGGGGTGCTTGGTAGCCTGTTGCAGGAGCCAGAGATCTGGTTCTAGCCTCACCCCTCCAATCTTCCAGGGATGAACCTTATAAAGTCACTCTGGACCTTCATTTCTTTACTTGTAAGTTGGAGAGAAACTAGACAAACATTGAGAATTTTTTCTTTGGGAATTTGATGAGATAATAAATAGAGAAATGTATTATAAACTGTAAAGTGTGATATGTGAGGGGTTGTAATTCACCCAGCCACGGATGGCGAAAGGATTGATCCTTGTGTCCCCAGCACCCAGCACAGGCCCAGAGAGTTGGGGTCACTAGACTGCTAAATGATGACTCACTTTGGCTCTCTTTTTGTCCCAGGGACCTGGCCCAGCTGGATGCAGCCTCGGTCTCATCCATCCAGGTGGTAGGCGTGGTTGAGGCTCTGATACAGAACACCGACACCCTCTTTCCTGGAGGTAAAGCTCCTGTCTTTGTGAACGATCCATCGAACTTGGCGCCCTCCAGACTCTGTTTCAGTCCCTGGCAGCCCTGCAAACTCACCAGGAGGCCTGGAGGAAATGACTTCTCCCCCCGAGCCTCAGTTTCTCATCTGTAAAATGGGGATGATTGTGCGTGCTTTGTGGGATTGCTGTGAGGCCCACCTGGGAGTAGGAAGGCGAAACACAGTCTAGATAACATCAGGAGAAAGGGAAAGTGGTCCTGATGCCTGCCGTGGTGGAGAGGCAGGTGGAAGCTCTGAAAGTTCAGACCTGCCCCCTCTGTCTGCAGATATCAACTTCAATGTGTCGGGCCTGTTCTCAGTGCCTGCCCCCCAGGACAAGGTCAGCGACATGCCGGCTTCTGAGGAGCTTCCATCGATTCCCACACCCACCCCGGCCGCTGTCCCAGCCTTAGTGGCTACCAAGGAAAGGTAAGGACTGATGGGCCCGAAGATCCCCAGCCAGAGGCACTGTCTCTCAGGGCATCCAAGAACATTTTAGGAAATAGAATTATTATCCTCCCAAAGACCAGGTTTCCCAGTTTAGAGTGGGTAGGACTCAGGCATATTCTTCTCAGCCTCTGATGTGTTCCCTGCTGTCTTATATAGCTCTTTATCGAATACTCTGTGCCAGGCACTGTTTCAGGTCCTGGAGATTTAGAGGACTGAGCCTTTTGGAATTTGTAAATACCATACTTTCCAGTCTTCTCTTTGATCCTTTAAACTGGAAGAAGAGCTGCATGGTGGTGTACTGCCTTCTTACCCAGTGGGTATTGCTCAGTTATCACAGACTGCTGGGGCCCAGAACGTGAATTTCCTTAGGTGAAGAAGACAGACACATGCTGCCCTTAGGGCTTGCATTCCAAGGGGTGGGAGACAGAATCATCCAGAACACCAATATAATGTCAGCCCGTCATGTGTGCTACGAAGAACAGTAGAACAGGGCCGGGTGGTCAAGTAGGAAACAGGGATCAAGAAAGCAGGGGTCAGGAAGGGCCTCCCCAAGGAGAAGCCAATAAAGCAGAGCCAGGAATGAGCCATGGCTTCCTCCTCTGCTTCTCGTCCGCTCTGTGGCTTCTAGTGGTCAAAACATCCCATGAAGATCACATGGAGGCTGGGACTTCCCCAGTAGTCCAGTAGTTAAGAATCCACCTTGCAATGCAGGCGCATGGGTTCAATCCCTGGTTGGGGAACTAAGATCCCACATGCTCCAGAGTTGACTGAGCCTGTGAGCCACAACTCAAGAGTGCGTGCACCACAACGAAAGGTCCCGAGTGCCACAACTTGATCCAACCCGGCCAAATTAATTACTTTTAAAAGCAGTTCGCATGGAGGCTGGGAGCTGACTTTCTGCCCCCATCCTGGCCACATGGGGGACCATGGACACTGTCACAGTAGCACACAGCAGCCAGGGCTCAGTGGATGCAAACTCTGGCCAATGCTAGAGGATCTTGTCAGACCCCAGGCCCAGCCACAGGGTGGTGGGGAACAGCTCCAGGAGGACCCAGACTCAGCCTGTTGGCTGGGAGACACCCCTGGAGGCCTGGAGACCTCCCCTGACCCTCTCCTTCCCTCGCAGGGCAGAGTCCGAGGCGCCCCACAGACCAACCTCCCCCAAGGTCAGTCGGACCCCCCCAGAGGCGGCCGCCCCAGCAGAGGAGATGGCTCGGAGGAGTGAGTTGGCCATGGGAGGAGAAGGGGCAGAGGGTGGGCAGGGAGCGGGATCAACAATCTCATACTGTCCCATGTTCTCAGACAGCCAGGGGAGGCATGGAATCCAGGGGGCTAAGGGCCTGGGTTTGCTGCCTGACACTCTGGGATCAGATTCCAGCTCTGTGACCTTGAACAGGTGACTTCACCTGTTTGTGCCTCAGCTTCTTCCTCTGTGTAATGGGACAATAACCGCACCTACCTTGAAGCTATTTAGAGAATTAAGTGGGGCTGCCTGGCCCATACTCAGCACCCAGTAAATGCTCCATAAGTAGTGACTGTGAGTGTTGAGGGTAGTGGTGTCCAGTCCCTCAAGAAGCCCTGGGATCACGGAGTGCAGAGGGAAGTGCGGTCTTCAAAGCACAGTGAATGAAGGGGTGGCAGTGGTGGTGGTCAGGTGGTCCCCTTCTGTGCCTCTTTGGTGCAATTACATGTTGAAGTGGCCTAAAGTTAGGTAGGTGAGAAGGTCAGGGGTTCAAGTGGAGAATCTGCCAGGGTGACTAGGACACTTGAAAGGTCCGGCCCAGGAGACGCTAGAGTTTTCTACCTGGATGGCAGTGGATGGAGCAGGAAGCTCTGGACCGGCTGGAGCTAGCAGGTCACACAGGGACCTTCTTACAGGAGGGGGCTTCTAGCCACTTTTCCTGGAAGGGGTGGGGACAGATGGGATGTTAGCTCACCAGAGGAAAAGATAAAGGACTGTCATAGCATCACCTGGGCTCATCCTCACGGCAGCCCTGGGAAGTCAAAGCTGTCACCCCATCTCAGCGATGAAGAAACTGAGGCTCCAGGGGGCAAGTCCCCTGGTGGGTAGAGGCAGAGCTTGGAGCAGAGCCTAGCTGTCCTGGCCCCACCCAGCCCCTTGGCTGCCTTGCAAGGTTGGACCATGCAGACAACTCTGAGGTGGGGCAGCCCTACCCCCACTTCTGAGCGGGGCTCAGAAGCCCTGTTTCTGAGCGGGGAGTGAGGAGGACCCAGCTGGCCAGTGGGACAGGTGGCATTTCTTTATTCAGCAAATAGGTACTGAGCGCCTACTCTGTGTCACCCATGCGCTGTGCCAGCCAGCTGGACAGAAGATGGCCTCACTTAGTTTGCGTTCTAGTCAGGGAGACAAGAAGGAAGGGAGCAAAATTTAAACTGACAAGATCATTTTAGAGGACATGAAGTCCCCCATGAAGAAAATATGACTGGAAGACATGACAGTAACTGGGGCTGGGTCGGGGAGGGGCCCTCAAGCTGAGGACAGATGTGGACAGAGGCCTGAATGATGAGCAGCCAGTGTGGACCATGTTCCCGGCAGAAGCGACAGCAGATAAAAGTTCTTGCAGTGGCATCAAACTTGGGGGTTTGCCCCAGGCAGTATAGACGCCTAACCACCCCTTTCCTTCCTCCACAGCCAAGCGCCCAGCACCCGCCAGGCCCACCATGCCGCCCCCCCAGGTCTCTGGCACCCGCAGCTCCCCTCCAGCGCCACCCCTGCCTCCTGGCTCTGGCAGCCCTGTGACCCCTCGGGCTCTGCCCCGCCGTCTGGTTGGCAGCAGCCTCCGGGCCCCCACGGTGCCACCCCCGTTGCCTCCCACTGCCCCCCAGCCTGCCCAGCGTCAGAGCCGGCGCTCACCAGCTTCCCCCAGCCCGGCCTCCCCAGGTCCGGCCTCTCTCAGCCCAGTCAGTCTGAGCTCGCCTGCACATGTGGACCTGGGGGTGGCCACTGAGGAGGGAGAGGCCCCTGAGGCTGCAGGCAGGGCCCCTACTGCCCCAGTCATCCCCCCTCAGGCCCGGCCCAGGAGCCTCGCCTCAGAGACCAACTGAGCCCACAGCTCCCCCACGACACCCCTCAGCACCCCTTCCCTCCCACCTCATCCTCCAGGACACAGCCCTCACCCCTCCCAAGGGGGCGGGAGCCTCCAGCCTTTGCCTAAAGTGCCTTGGTGCCCGCTGGGTCGGCCCCCACGGCAAGAAGGACTCAGGACAGTCCTCCACTTCCAGACCTTTTCCTCTTGGATCACCCTGGGCCTCAGGGGCCCCTCAGCCACCTCCCTGCTCTCTGGCAGGGTCCCAGGGGAGCCTCCGGAAGGAAGCAGAGGCTTGCCTGCTCCCACAGGACATTTTTTTTTTCTCTTGCCAACATACTGTTTTTTTTTTTGTAAGGCTGGCAAATAAATTATTTTGGACAAAACTGGAGCAGCTACCCAAATGATAGTTTTATTTTCTGTCCTTGAAATAAAGAAGCCACTTTGATAAAAGGGGAAAAAATTACTTATTCTTTGCCTCCTTTCTTTTTTCTTGTCTGAAATAGTAACAGCCAACATTTTTAGTGCTTACTCTTTGCTACACATTGTTCTTTTCTATGCATGAGTTCCATCTAATCCTCTTTCAGGGAAGTAAATCCCATTACCTCTTACAGGTGAGGAGACTGAAAGAACGTGACCAAGGTCACATGGCAAGTGAGGCATAGACCTGGCCCAGGTCTGCTTGATTCCAGAGCCTGTCCCTCATATCCTGAGCAATTGGAGTTTCCTTTTCTTCATATGTGAAATCACTTTAACAACTTCCACCACGGAAATGTTGTTGTGAGCATTAAATGAGACACTTGTAAAGACCAAAGCACTGCCTTTGCACACAGAAGTGCCCTGTAAGTCATGGCTGCCGTCGCTGTTTTTCCCCACCTGTGGTGGTCTCTGTTCCCAGGGAAGGCTCCCTGGGGAGCAAGGATGAACCTGTCTTCAAACATTCCCTGACCATGCTCTGTGCCAGACTCTGGGTTAGGTCCCAACTCAGCCCTATGCCCAGGGAGCTCCTGGGAACGGGCAGGAGAACTGACAATTAGAATCATGTGTCATGGCCGTTTCCTGGTCCAGTGGTCAGGGCTCCGACCTCACTGCCAAGGGTGCAGTTTCCATCCCTGGTCGGGGAACTAAGATCCTGAAAGTTGTGTGGCAGGGCAAAAAAAAAAAATCAAGTGTCATGGCACCAGGAGCCCATGAGAGCCCACTTAGGAGTAAGCCATTTAACCCACACTGGCCGTGTGTGTGTGTAGGGTGGATGTCAGGATGGCTTCTTGGAGGGGGCAGTCTTTCAGGAGCTGGCCAGGTAGAGGAAGAAGGAAGAACATTTAAAGTGAAGGAGACCACCTATGCAAAGGTCAGGAGCAAAAGCCCAGGGCAATGAGAAACAGAAAATATAAGCCCTGGAGGCTGATGGTGTGCCTTTTCTCGGGTCTTTGAAGCTCCAGTTGCTCCTGGGGGTCAGACCAGTCTTCAGAGTCTTCTCAGAGGTTGGCAGACAGCCTTAGAATTGTGACACATTCCTCACCAAGTAGGGACCAAGTTGCCTCTAGCCCAGTGCCTCTCCATTCTGGCCTCACAGTAGAATCCCTGGGTGATTAAAAAACAAATCAAAAAAAGCCAGGGCTCACCCAAAGGAATTAAAATCAGAATTTCTGGGGTCCTATCACACGTTTTATTTTATTTTATTTTTTTTTCCCATTTGTTTTTATTAGTTGGAGGCTAATTACTTTACAACATTGCAGTGGTTTTTGTCATACATTGAAATGAATTAGCCATGGATTTACATGTATTCCCCATCCCGGTCCCCCCTCCCCTATCACACGTTTTAAAAAAACGTTTATCAAAAGTCATCGAACTATACACTTAAGATCCACACATCTTACTGTATGTAAATTATATAATAATAAAAAAAATCCGTTTTCTTGGGAACTCTATGCGCAGACAGGGTGGGAAACCACTGGTCTAGGCCAAGGGCTCCAGCGTCGGAGGGGACACCATGTGCCTGTCTCCCCAATCACAACCACACTCTGCATCCCAGGACTTCTTCCCAGGACTCCGCTCGGAACTGGAGAGTCTAGGGTTCGGAAAGCAGTGAGATTTGACCCAAAGATAACATCTTCTTTAGCATTTGTTTTCCCCCTAGCAACCATCTGTCTTAAGCTTGTGATTGGCTGGGGAACGACGAGCGGGCCTTATTTTTCTATTCGTAACTCCTTATTGGTCAAAGAGGTCAGTCCTTCTCCCGGCGGGCGGCGAGTCGGGGCTGAAGCTCTGCGGCTACTGGTCCAGAGGAGCTAAGAGGCGGGACGAAGGACCAGACTAGGTCTTCATTGGTCCCCCTTCCCTCTGTGGAGCTCGAGATCCCGCCCTTTTCTCCAGGCTCCTGTAGCTCGCAGCACCCTCGCCGCTCCTCTCCGAGACTCTCCCTCCCATTGGCTGCAGGTCAGGCCGTGGCCCCGCCCCCTGGCCCTTCCGGCACGCCGATTGGCGGGTGCCCGCGACAGGCCTTCTGCGTGCGAGCGCGCTGTGCCCGCGGGAAGAGAGCGGCGCGGCTCCGGTGTGCGGGCAGCCAGGCGGCTGCATGGCGCGCTGCGAAAGGCTTCGCGGCGCGGCCCTGCGCGACGTAGTGGGCCGGGCGCAGGGGGTACTGTTCGACTGCGACGGGGTGCTGTGGAACGGCGAGCGCGCAGTGCCGGGCGCCCCCGAGCTGCTGGAGAGACTGGCTCGGGCTGGCAAGGCGGCGCTCTTCGTAAGCAACAACAGCCGGCGCGCGCGGCCAGAGCTGGCCCTCCGCTTCGCACGTCTCGGCTTCGGGGGGCTGCGCTCCGAGCAGCTCTTCAGCTCTGCGCTGTGCGCCGCGCGCTTGCTGCGCCAGCGCCTTCTCGGATCCCCGGACACGCAGGGCGCGGTGTTCGTGCTGGGCGGTGAAGGGCTGCGGGCCGAGCTGCGCGCCGCCGGGCTGCGCCTGGCGGGGGACCCCAGCGAGGACCCGGGCGCGGCCCCGCGCGTGCGCGCCGTGCTTGTGGGCTACGACGAGCACTTCTCCTTCGCCAAGCTGAGCGAGGCCTGCGCGCACTTGCGCGACCCCGACTGTCTGCTGGTGGCCACCGACCGCGACCCGTGGCACCCGCTCAGCGACGGCAGCCGGACCCCCGGTGAGCGCGGGGAAACAGCTGGGGGGCGGCCCGCGCTTTCAGCTCCATGCCTTGGGGTGAGGGCTGGGGAAGGGGCGTCTCCAGGCGATAGGAGGGGGACTGGAGGGATGTGCGGGCGGTCCCCACCCAGCAACAGCCCTGCATGTCTTCATGGCCACATCTGGTATTTCTTGCAGCTTTCTTGCAGCTGCCACGCTGTGAGGGGCAGAAGTGGGGTGCGGTTGGACAGATGAGGACACTGTGGCTCGGGGAGTCACGGGTGCAATCCTGGGCCCCGACGCCCAACCCTAGCCTTCCTGAACCAGCCTCCATGACTCCTGTCATTTTCCCCACCCGCCATCGGAGTGAGGTGGGAGAGTTGGGGACAAAGCCTGCCATCCCCCTGCCCCCCGCCCCCCGAGAGTTGGAACAGGCGTTTCTGGCGGCAGATTGAAGGCACGTGTGCGGAGAGAATGGGCGGTGGATGGAGTTTGACCTGAGTTCCAGCTGCAGGGCTCTGTAATCTTGTTAAATTACATAACCGTGGAGCATCTCCTCCCTGGGGGTAAAATGGGAGTACTAACCATGTCAGTTTTAGTTTAGCTGAGGAGAGAGTGATCAGGGCAAGTGCTTGCTCTGTAATAGGTGCTCAGATGATGCAAATTGTATCTGAGCCCTCTCCTGTTACAGAGCTTTATGAAGCACCTTGGTGTCTGTTTCAGAATTACTCTGGAGATGGAAGTTATTGTTACATTTCCCAGTTAAAGAAACTGAGGCTAAGAGAAGGGATGTGAGCTACCCAAAAGCAAGAGGACCTGAACTTGGCGCTTGAGGCCACCCTATCCCCAGCCTCTAAACCCCACGCCCGCCATCCAGGGCACTCTTTGCTGCTGTCATCTGGGAATTTCACAGCTGCAGAGGAGGCAGGAGCAAAAGAGGCCTCTACATCTTGGAGGGTTCACGTTAGACAAGAGCAGAGGGTAGCAAAGGCTAACTGACAGCAGGGACAACCAGTCAGTCGGCCGAGGGAGGGACCGACATCCATCACTTTCTCCCTGCTGGCCACTGACTCGATTGATTCCAGATCCTGGGAGGGCAGGGAGAAACTGATGGAGTAGGCAGAGTATTATGATGGGTGGCAGGGAGGGCCTAGAGGTGAGGAGACCTGGGAAGGCTTCCTAGAGGAGGCATCTTGCAGGACAGGGCTCTCAGGAATGGAACAGGGCTTGGGCCATGGCAGAATCAGTTCCAAGCTGGGAATCTTAATAGTTCTAGGCCTAAAAAAAAGAAAAAAAAATAGTTCTAGACCTATCTTGGCTTTGCCGCAGACCTACTTGCTGCATGACCACTTTAGTGTCCCCATAAATCCAAGGGGAGAGTGCTGCTCAGGGCTCCCAGCTGCCAGCAGCTACTGCCTGCCTGAGGCTGTGCTGTGAAAAGTGAGTTTCTCCAGAGGCCTCAATGCTCAGGTGAAGGCTGTGGGTTCAGAAGTTTGCCCAAGGGCTCAGGAGGGATGGTGTGGAGGTGCTGGGGAGAGACCAGGCCCTGCCCACGTGTGCCCCTTGAATCTCAGCACCCACCTGGCTGTGCCCGCCAGCTCTGCTGGTCATTCCCACAGCCAAGAGGGGGAGACAGAGCTCAGGAAATACACCACTGTTATCCTATTTCAGCAGGACTGAATCGTGCAGCTTTGTAAGTGGAATAGCATTTTAAATAAAGACCCCAGTATGCATAAAATCTGAAATAATGTGAATTTCACCCCAGTTCCCCCTCCCATCCCTATGGGTCTGCTTAATTGTGCGTTTATCTTGTTACCACGTGGCAGCCACTTGAGCTGGCAAATAGAAAAGCCTGCTGTCTTAGGAATACGTCACCAGCAGAATATACAGGACTCCTGGATGACAGGATGTTGAGAAGACTGGGATGTGATGGTCTGAGGGCGGAGTTGCGTTCAGACTCTCCTGCTGGGATGCTCGCTCCCCCAGAACACGGATCTCAGTTTCCTTCACTGCTCTATCCCTGGTGCCCGGCACATAGTTGGGCCTCAGTAATACTGACTGAGGTGGGACACGAGGGGCCGAGAGTGATAGGCTCAGACCTGGTAGGAAAGGAAGACGCTAACAGAGCGATGGTCCTGGAGCCAAGAAAATCCCTTTGGGATGACTCAGTTGAGCCCTTCCCATTCTGGAAGGAATTTCTAACCAAAGAGCAAATGGCTTTTCCTCCTGACTCAGTTCTTAGGAAACCGAGTGGGCAAGTTCTAGATCAGAGGTCAGGGAGACCTGCCCCACAGGGTCACTCTGGGCCAGCTCTGCCCTGATCCCAGGGAAGTTCTTTCTCCTCATCTGGGGGCCGCAGAGCTGAAGACACTTGCTGTTTGTGCACCTTCTGTGCCTTTGGCTTAATCACGTTGAATGTCATTCATTGTGAGAAGGGAGACTGGAGGCCCAGAGTGTTTGGGATCAGACTAGTGATGTACTGATAAATCTTTAAGAACCGGAAGAGCCTTGATTTACACTTTTGCCAATTTCTGTGGTGTTAGTACTCCCCCGGGTGGCCGATTTCAGCCTACCAATGTGAGGTCACTTCCCATGTGGGCTTGGGAAGGAAGGTAAGTACACACTATTCTGTAATATTTCCATCATTACGGATGTAAATAACCTCAAGAGCATAGATAATGGTGAAATAATTAGGCAGTGATGAGTTTTGAGAATGTATTACCTTTGTTTTAAACATTTTATTTAAGTTCATATGAGTTGACTTTAAACAGTAGCTTTGTTTAACTACCAACTCACAGAATTCCTGAAAAGGAAACATTCAGCACTCCGGAGCCGTGTCTGAGTCAGACTTACCTGAATGCATATCCTTTATCTGCCACTTACTAAGCTGTGCAACCCTGGACAAGTTACTTAACAACACTGAACATCAGCTTTGTCATCTGTAAAATGGGTGTTCATGAACTCCCACACAGCCCCTGGCACTTTAGAATGTGCTTAGTAAATTGTGATTATCATCATTTGTTCAGGGACATTAGTGTGAAGGTAGAACATTCTGGCACAAAGATGTACCGCTGGGATGGGCACAGTGGACTCATTGTATGGGGCAGGATGGTACTGGGCTGAGAATCAGAACCGTCCTTTTCTCAACAGCCCTCCTATTGTTCAATACTTGGGTGTGTTCCACAGTTCTGCTTATTATAGTTACTGCAGCCACGGACATCTTCAAGCATGTAGCTTTTGTCTCCAGTCTGAATTCTCGCCTTGTGATCACTCCCAGCGGAGGCAGACTGGGTCAGAGGTGCAAACATTTCTGTGCCCTGCTGTTCCAAAAGAGCTGGTGCCAATTTCCGATGCCAGAACACATTCTTGTAGCAATAACCACAACTGCTGTTGGTTAAGTGCTTTTCCATTTCCAAAGCACTTGCCCCTGTGGTGCCCACAGCACCTCTTGGAAGGCAGGCATCACTTGGATCCCCCTTTCCAGTGAGTCCAAGAAAACTCAGAGAGATTGGCTTGCCCACAGATGTACGACTGCCAGGGTAAAATAGTGAACCACAGGCAGGACTGACTGAGCCAGGCCTGGTTATGTGCAGTGGCTCCATATTCAAGGTGGGAAAACTGAGGCACCGGGAGGTTAATAGCTTGCCAAAGAAAAGTGGAGATGGGATGTGAATGCAGGCAGCTGGTTGCAGAATCTACGCCCTTAACCCCCACACTAAAACTGGGAAGCAGGCAGCCTTTTCACTCATTTCAGCCTGCTTTAACCCCCACGCCAAGCTGCTTCTGAGGATCCCAGCTCCCAGGCCTGGATGCCTTCCCACTGCCGCCTGCACTGACCAAGTGTCCGTGTCCCTGCAGGCACCGGGAGCTTGGCTGCCGCCGTGGAAACAGCCTCGGGCCGCCAGGCCCTGGTGGTGGGCAAGCCCAGCCCCTACATGTTCGAGTGCATTACAGAGCACTTCAGCGTGGACCCCGGCCGCACGCTGATGGTGGGCGACCGCCTGGAGACCGACATCCTCTTCGGCCACCGCTGCGGCATGACCACCGTGCTCACACTCACAGGCGTCTCCCGCCTGGAGGAGGCCCAGGCCTACCTGGCAGCTGGCCAGCACGACCTCGTGCCCCATTACTACGTGGAGAGCATCGCGGACTTGATGGAGGGGTTGGAGGACTGAGCCCACTGACGCAAGCGCAGCCGCAACCCTCCCTTACCCTGTTCCCGTAGGTGGAGGTGATGGGCCAAGAGCTGCATTAAGGGCTACCGGCTCCCGCACCCCAGTTTCTACCCGGGTGGGACTGGAACCCAGGGAAGGAATCAAGGCCCCCACACCCGCTCCCAACAGTGGCTGGGCACTCTTTGCTATCCCGGAAGCTGCCCCCTCCCCTCTTACTGGTTCACCCCGGCCTGACCCAGCCAGGTGGCCTTATATCCTGCCCTGTGACCTCCCCTTGTTTCAATCTGGGCCCTGCTGCCTTGTGAAGATCTCCCCAACCCTGAGCGCCTAATTCCCCAGTTCTGCCCTGGGGCCTCTAGAGCTCTTCCCGGGTCCTGGCCTGGGGTGCCTGTTGACCAATCAGAGGTCTAGGTAACCAGGAATCATTGTTGCCCTGAGCCCTGAATGGACCAATCAGAAGACAAAGTGATAGTGACGCACTGCCGTTGGGTCCTGAGTGGACCGGTTGGGAGCCTAAGTGACAGTGACCCTCTCAGGTCCTAGGTCCTCGGTAGACCAATCAGGACCCCAGGTAGTAATGAGCCATTAGTCTCTTGGATCCTGGATAGAACAGTCTAGAAGTCTGAGAGACCTTGGCCTCTTGACTATCTGGGTCTGACTGGACCAGCCAGGGGTCCAGATTTCTGTTCATAAATAAGGGTCCAAGTGCTGAAGACACCTCTCCTCCACAGAGGCTTCTGTAGTGAGGGCCCCACCCCTCCCTGATCATGGTATCAGGCCAGTGCTGATGGCGGCCACAGCTTGGGAGTCGGGCGTTTGTGCCCCTGCTGTGCTATCAGCGCTTGCTGTGCCCCCTCTCTCCCGTGCCCACCCGTTATTTATTATCGTGTGCCACTGATGGTGGGGGTGGGGGCTGAGCCTTCCCCCGCCACCTCCGCCCCTATTGTAACTAGTCCTCCCGTACTTAATAAAGTGCGAGTAGGAGTGTCTCTGTGGGTTCAAGTCTGTGTCCAGGGTGGGACCGGCGGAGGAGCCCCTGCCTGAGCCTGCTCTCCGGAAAACTGGCCCATTCCCTCTGTGAAATGGTCCACCCCAGTTCCAGCATGTTCTCTGTGTAGAGTGCTACCTTAGCTTAATAGCACTTTATTCCTCACGGAGCCTTTTATTTTATTTTTTTAATTTTTTGGCCATGCCACATGGCATGTGGAATCTAGTTCCCCGACCAGAGGTTGAACCTCTGCCTCCTGTACTGGAAGGACAGAATCTTAACCACTGGACCACCAAGGAGGGTCCCCCTCATTGAGTCTTTATATAACAATATGTTTCAGTCCTTCAGAAAATCCAGCAAGCTTGCATTACTCATTCCACTTTACTCCTTGGGGAACGAGGGTCAAAAAGGTGATGTTAGCTTACACAAGGGCACACACCTAGGAAGTGTGACCACCTGAGTGGGGCCGGAACTTGTGTTGGCTGACTCTAGGAGGCTGTAGCCCTGCTCTGCAGAGACTGAAGGGGGAGACAGGTCCTCGCCCTCCTCCAGGAGCTCAGGGGAAATGCAGTGCACACCCCTCCACGGGATTTCAGGCATCCTTCACACCTGGGCTGCTGCTGTGACTGTCTGCCCTGCTGGCCTTGAGCTTCCCAGGGCCTCCTGCAGAGCAGGTGCCCAGCTGGAAGCTGGCTGACGGGCAGGCCTGACTGTCACTGATGCACTTGTCATTTGAGCTTGCACAAGCCCCCTTCCTGCTCAGCCTGTTTCCTCATCTGTAAAGTGAGGGATGGGACTTCAAGGTCTGGAAAATTCTCTTCAGTGTGGTTCTTCTTGGGAGGACGGAGTGCTTGACTGAGTCTGGCTGCATCAGGAGGTGGGCACAAATGTGCTCTTCTGGTGACTTTTGGTTAAGGCTTAAAGGAGTCTATTGGCTGCCCCATGAGATGGTCCAACACCCTCCAGGTGCATCCCTCTCATCCTCTCACTCTATGGGCTTTGGATGTGGAAGCGGTTGCAGCCATTATGTGATCACAAGGCACGGCCTGGTATATTTCTCTGCTCTGTGACTCTGCTTCAGAAAAATGGGAAGCACTTGGGGGTATTTTCCCTAGACCTCTAAAAGTTGCAAACCATCAGAAAAAGTCTAAGAACAGCACAATGAATACCATATGGTTTTCACGAGATTCCTAGCTAATATTTCAGGAAACTGATGACCCCAACTGACGAAACAACTCCTTCACATTATACCCGCTGGTTTCATTAGTTTCCTAGTTTTGCCTCACCCCACCCCCACCCCTGCCTGCTGACTACTTTCTTGGTGAACAGAAGCCTGAGAGATACTTTGTTATTCCTGCCATAATTTTTCCCTCTGGCAGTGGCTTTGAGTTAGTGGCTGAAGCTCAGACTCGCTGAAATAAATCTGAGCTTGGTCTAGCATCAGAATCCCACCCAGCATTCCCTTTTGATTTCATTTTATCTCTTACAGATAACCATAACTACAGGTCTGTAAGTTTTACTTTTTTCACAATTCCTTATGCATCCATTTAGCCGACTCCCCAGGACTTGGAGCCATGTCTAAATTCCACTGGTAACATTTACCTTTATTTATTTAATTAAAAAAATTTTTTTAAGAATGCGCATAATTTTTTTTTTTTGCCAAGCTGCATGTCTTGCAGGACCTTAGTTACCTAGTCAATCAGGGACTGAATCCAGGCCCTGGGCCATGAAATCGCTAGTCCTAACCACTGGAGCGCCAGAGAATTCTCCCAGGTTTACCTTTAGAGGCAACGCAGCACTGCTGCTAGGGCCATGGGTGACCACGTGACCACCTAGGAATCAAAGGTTCCTCACCCCTGCCCTTTCATGCTTTCTCTTTTCAACCCACACATTCCTATGAGCCAGGGCCTTTGTAGCAAATCCCACTTCTCTGACACCAACTGAAAGGGAAAACTGTTAACACACAGGATACGGTACTTCTGACACCAAAATGTGCAAGGTTTCTACATCAAGCAATTCTCCAGTTTTCTGCGAACACCACCTGGGTGTCCTACAACCTAATTCAACTTCGACACTACCTGGAGTCAGTGTAGACCCCACAGGTTAAGGGCTCAGCCCCCCCTAGGCTTTCCCCTACTTCAATGCCAGGTCCAAGTGCCAGGTTGTTACCTGTACTCTGATCAACTGGCTATAAATCAGAGGTTCCCACAGCCCGCTTCTCAGGTTTGATCATTTGTTACAACGGTTCACAAAACTCAGGGAAACTATGATTATGGGTTTATTCTATAACAAATGATATGACAGAGCATACCGGTGAACAGTGAGATGAAGACACACACAGGGCAAGGTCCTGGAGGGCACCAAGAGAAGAGCTGCTGTCCTGGTGGGGTTAGGGTGTGCGACCCTCCCAACATGTGGGCATGTTCACCAACCCAGAAGCTCTCCAAACTGTGTAGCTTGGGGATTCCTGGGGAGGGGCTTTATCACATTGGCATGATAGATCATTAGTCTCTAGCTCCTCTCTCCTTCTTGGAAGATGGGTGGCAAAGCCGAAAGTTCCAAGCTTCTGATCACTGCTTGGTCTTTCTGGTGACCAGCCCCCACCTTGAAGCCATCCAAGTGCCCACCAAGAGTCACCTCATCAAAACAAAAAATGCTCCTATCACCCAAGAAATTCCACAGGATTTAGGAGCTCTGTGTCAGGAACCAGGGTCATTAACCAAATACACATTTCTTACTATGTCACACTCCTTCAGTTATTTATTTATTTTTTTGACTGCACCAGCTCTTACTTTCGGCATGCAGGATCTTAAATTGCAGCATGCGAACTCTTAGTTGTGGCATGTGGGATCTAGTTCCCTAACCAGGGATAGAACCCAGGCTCCCTGCATTGGGAGTGCAGAGTCTTAGCCACTGCGCCACCAGGAAAGTCCCTAATTTACAAAAGTTTCAAACCAACAGAAAAGGTGTAAGAATGGCACAATGAACACTCATGCCCTTCATCTACATTCCCAGTTGTTTTCTATTTGTCCAATTTGCTTAGTTGCTCTGTACATATATTGACATTTTTAAACTGGCTTGTTCGAAAGTATGTAACAAGTATGAAGACAGTTCATCTCAAATCTTTTACATTGTCTGTCCTAAAAGTAGGGGCTAACTGTGGATTGTGGTTGTGCAGAAGAGTGAGGACTGTCTATATGGCCATAATCCATGATCGTACAGGAACCCAGATCTTTTATGATTTCACTGAGCCACTGAATTAACCTGCCATGGAAACCTAGCTCCAGACTGCTTGTAAATTTTTCTTAATTTTAAAGCGGTTTTTATTGAGTTTTCTGTTACTTACAGCTCCAAACTCTCCTGATACACAGGTCCCAAGCACATTATAGAAAACATTAAAATGCATCCACAGCCCCCATTAAATATATTTATGGGGGGCTTACTATACATACCTCCAAGGATTTTTATACTCTCATTTTAGACATTACTTGGCTATGGGGATCTAATGTAAGAGTGACCAATCTCTAGGAAGACTTGGACATGCTTTTGAAGAAGAAAATTCCACCCACAAAATTGTTTTCAAAGGCAATACAGTTTTTATGACTAGCAAGGGTTAGGTTTGACCAAAGTAAACATTTATTAACTTCAGCTCTGCAGTCTTAGTATTTGGGGGCCAACACATTTTTTTTTTTTCTTCAAGTCTCAAATATTTTCTAAGCTCTTAAAAAGCTCTTAGCTTCCTGTGAGTCTATAATTATGTCACCCACACACACACACACCAAAGAACCATTAAAAAAAAATAAAAAAGACTCATGCCTGAGCCCTGGAGGATAATGAAGGACAGGGTCTAGACCTCACCTAAACCTCATATGAGAGGAGAGGTGATTCTCCAAAGGCAAGTTGGGGCCTGTGTTCAGAGGGGGACAAACCCTAGGTGGGAAGGCAAAGTGACAGAGCCCCCTGTGTTTGGGGAGATGCTGTCTGAGCACATGGAGCAGCACAAGCAAAGGCAGGGAGGTGAGAAAGGATGAGCAGCTAAGTGAGGAGGTGGGCTCCAGCACAATCTGCTTGGAAAAGTATCTGAAGTTGGGGGCATCCCCCCCCCAACTAGTCCTTCTGACCCTTCATGGAACAGGAGGAAAAGATCACTTTTGAGGTCCAAGAATCCCAGCATCATACTGTTCTTTCCTTGGCTCAGCAGATGAAAGCACTGCAGCCCGAGCTCCTCCTGTGACCCTGGCCAAGCGGCCACCCTCTCTGGGTGGTCTCTGCATCATTAAATGTAGGAGCTCTGGAGCTGGCTCTGGCCACGCCCACCCTCCTCAGCTGGGCCGTATCTCAGGGGGTCCGGCAGCCCTCCCCACCACGGCCAGCTGGAGGAGCCACAGCCTTCCTGGGGGCTGGAAGGGAGCCGGTAGTCTGGGAAGAACCATGCTGGCCTGGATCTCCTGTCTGGACAAGCTCAACTCATTTCTCACAGCAGCAGCCAAGGTCCAGCCGGTAAGGCCAGCCTGCAGGATGGAGGAATTCCAGAGAACTGGCTGCCTCCACTGCGGCGAGGCAGAGGAGAGTCTCTGGGGGCGGGAGGGGCTTGGCCTTGGGGAGTGCAGGAGAGACAGTTGACTTTCAGCCCCTCTCACATCACTCCTATAACCCTCCAGGCAGATAGGTAACATTCCCACTTTCCAGGCCTGGATACAGGTTCAGGGAGGACAAGGACCTTGGCTGGAGTTACAGCCCGGTAGCCCCCAAATTAGGACTTGCCCCTCCTCTCAGATTCTGATGTCAGCTTCGCTTCAGGGCCCCAGAGCAGCTTCCCTGTGCAGAAGTTTGACCCAGGTGGCTGCTTCAGGAGGGAGGTGAGAATGAAATGAGATAATGTATGAAAGCGAGGCGCCGGGCACAGGGCCTGAGAGATAAGTGGGCGCCACCAGCAGGAGGCCCTGAGACTGGGGGTGGGGGTATAATGCAGCTTGTCTCTGCCCCCCACCTCCAGAAAACCACGGTCCCTCTTATTTATAGGCAACACTGGACTCTGTAGAGACTCCCCACCATAGACTGGGGCAGGGGGGAATGCCTAGGGATGACGTGGGGGTGAGAGGGCGGCCTCCCAGAAGTGCTGACTCAGGAAGGTGAACTCAGCCTGGGAGAAGATATAAGAAGAAGGCAAAAACCTTCTGAGACTCTGAACAAAAGAATCATCTATTAAGGGTATACAACAGACCTGAACTCTACCTTGCGCTAACCTTGTGCAAGAGAGCAGGGCTGCTCATGCCCAATTCACAGACAGGCAGACTGAGGCAAGCAGGGAGAAGCAACTTTCCGGGATGCCCTGGGAGGGCACCAGAACCCGAGTCTCCAGACTCCCAGAGGAGTCTTTCTGGGCCCTTCACCCCATGTCACCATCCTACTTCGTCTCCCTACCAGCCCCTGGCAGGCCAAATGCCACAGAGGAGTAAAGCAGCCCTCTCCAACAACAAACACTTCCTGGTGCCGAACCCCATCTTCCAGGATGGGGGGGAAATGAAGGAGCAGCTCCTGAGGCCCTAAGAGCCCCACCACTGGGGAGCAGCCAGCCAGGCCCACGTGATGGCTGTCACAGCAGGGACTGCATCTGAAGCATCTCTGGCTTTGGTCCAGGGCTCCTCCTGAAATACCCTCATTCCTTGTCCAGGCAAAGAGGGTGTCTGTGGGCCTCAGAGGGGAAGCAGTGGAGCTGGGCACCACCCACCCTTCCCGAATGCGGAGGTTTGGAGGGAGGCCCTGGAGGAAAAAGTGAAGCACTTTTGGTGGTTGGTTTCTGAGGCAGCAGGCTTGGTCTAGGAGGAGGGGTGAGGGGCTCACAGGGGGTGCCACCCAACCTCTCTGGGCCTGCCTCTCAGCCCCGTGCCCTCCCCTCTCCTCCTGTGCCAGCGTGGGCCTCAGTCTCTGGAGGAAGATGGGGGCTGGGGAGGCAGCGAGCTAGGGGCAGGGCCTCCAGATATGAGTCACCCCTGGTCCACATCTTCTTAGCTCTTCAGTGCTGGTGATTTCAGAAGGAGGACAGTGATGTGAGGGAGGCTGATACCTCTCTTAGCAAGCCCCCCACCCCGCCCACCCAGGACTCCCCATGCTCCTCTACTTGGTTTCTGAATGTGAAGTGAGCACCCCTTGAACCCACCCTCAAGTCTGTTGCTACAGTGATTTTCCCTGCAGTCTAAATCTGGCCTTACTACTCAATCTTCATATAACTTTCTGTGGCCTCCCCAGCACCCTCAGATAAAACAATGCCCAAACCCTTCCATGAGGCCCTTCATGATCCAGGTACCATTGGCCTCCCAGCCTCATAACCCCACCTTTCCCCAGCACCTCCTAAACTCCAGCCATGCCGAGGTGCTCACAGTTGCCCAGATGCTCACGGTTCCCCAGACATGTGCTGTCTCATTTCTGTGCCCATGCTGAAATGCCAGTCCCTGCTTCTTCACCCATCCTTGAAGACCCACCTTCTGGAACTTCCCTGGCAGTCCAGTGGTTAAGACTTTGCCCGCCCACTGCAGTTGGCAAAGGTTCAATCCTTGGTCAGGGAACTAAGATCCCGCATGCCATGTGGAGTGGCCAAAAAAAGAAAAGACCCACATTCTTCCCATTCTGGACCACCCCACCACAGTGCTTGCTCATGACTTCTCTCAGAGCCAGCATCATGCTACTTCCTAATTAGGCTCACAGTCAAATTCTGCCCCCAACATAGAGCTACTTGAGAGCAGGGACTGAGGGCTTCATCTTTGAATCCTCTGAGGCCAGCTCAGGGCCAGGCACATAATAGGTGCTCGGTAAAATACCTGCTAAACGGATGGGGGAAAAAAGTTGTGCCTGGCGTCAGAGGGAGAAAGAATGGAGGTGGGTGCATAGACCGGGGACCCCAACCCTTTATGGTCTGGCTCACCCTGGGCCTCCTTCCAGGACTGACCCTCTTGGACAGGCCAGAAGCTGTTAGGCAGGGGCTCCTGGAAGATCCACAGCAGGGCCCTCGGGAGGGCCAAAGCCCGCGGCCTGAGTCCTGAGCCTGGGCGGCAGCCTCAAGCCTGGCACCCGCCCAGCCTTTCTTTAGCGCTAGTGAAGAGCTGAGCAGCAGCCGCAATCCCTGTTTCCGGGGGAGGCAGGGCTTTGTGGTTAATGGGTCCTGGGCCCTCTGCAGAGGCGCCCAGAGCGGGCCACGCCCTGGTCCCTGCCAAGGAACAGAGCCTCTTGAACCCCAGATCTAATTCTCGAGGGACGCTGCACCCCTTCAGCTGTCTTCTCTGGGTATCCCCCCAGCTCAGCCAGCTAGCCCTGGCCCTCTTCTCACTAACTCTTGGACCTAACTCATCCTCAAACTATTTTCCACTGCCTTCCCCCAATCCTTGCCACAGAACAATTTTGGGAAGGGGTAGGAGAATTGGGAGGTGGAACCTGGACCTTACGGGAGTGGCTAAGAAGGAATGGGGGGAGGTCTCCACTCTGATTGGTCATCTCTGCTCCAGAACAGGCTTCAAAATTCCATTAACTCCGCCTCCTGTGGCCCCCATCCCCTTCCTGAGTTACAATTGGCTCAGCATCCAGGGGGCGGGACTCAGCGGGGTCTGGTCCAGTTAAAAGGGTGGGAGCGGCCCGAAGCCCATTTCTCCCGCAGAGTCTTCAGACAGCTGGTGTCGAAGTTCCAGGAACATCCTCCTCTCTTCAATCATGGCTTGTGTGAGTATGGGGGTGCCCCCCACCCTAAGGCCCAGAGATGCTCTCGGGGTTCAGCCGGGGAGAGCGAGGGTAAATCAGGATCTGGGTTCTAGTTCCCGTGGTGCGGCCTTGAACAAGTGTCTTTTCTGGGCCTCAGTGGCCGTGTCTGTAAAATGAGGGTAGGGCCACGGTCCCCCAAGGCCTTCTCTGGCTTAAGAAATTTCTGGATTCCTCCAGGATCTGATAGCACAATTATTTCTGCCAAGGTCTGACTTTCTGCAGCTCTCTTGAGAAGTGGGAGTGGAAAGGGTGTGGCCGGCTGGACCTGGCGGGGCGGGGGGCGGGGGTGCATTTTCATAATGCCCAGGACACTGTCCCTCCCCCCTCCTCCACCCCATAGGAACTCCTGTCCCCTCCCCCCCTGCAGCTGTCCCCAGTCCCTGGGCCAGGGCAGAGTCACCGTGTGCTCCAGAGAGCTCTGAAAAGTCGCCTGGATCTGAGCCACACTGCCTGGGGGGAGCCTGCATAGGTTAGCCAGCGGCAGTGGGTGATTCGGTCCAGACTAGTCAGGCGGGGTTTGGGGTGGGGGGGTTGCCGGATGGCCCATTCCTCCAAGCTAGGAGGGGTGGGTATGTGTGATAAGGGATATCAAAGAGGAAGCTAGAATCTTCTGCAGGCCCCTAGGGACAGGATTCAAGTTTCTGGCAGGAGGAACTATTCATACCAGTTAAGCTTTGCACTTGAATTTGTTAACCCTGAACCAGCTAGGGTGCAGGCTCCTGCCCCGGGGGCCATTCTCCCTTCTTAGAGGGGTCTAACTGTGCTCCTTGGGGGACTCCTCTCCAGCCCCTGTCCCTCTCTGCCCAGAGAGGCTTGAAGGGGATGATGGACACTGCCCAGCCCCAGGCCTCTTCCTCGCCAGCAGATGGACAGACCTTCCTTTGCCCCTCAACTCGCAGAGACCCATGTGGAGGCTGGCTCTCTCCATCTATTCAGTGAGGCAGGCAATAGAGCACAGACAGCACTCCACCTCCCAGGCTACAATGCATCTAAAGTCCCCAGGCTGAATGGCAGAAACTTCTAGATCCTGTCTTCTTAGAACCTCAGTGATGTTTCAGACAAAAAATTGACCCAGCTGGGAGTGGGGACTTGCCCAGGACCACGCAAAGAAGGAGAGTCTAGATCTTGCAGCCGGGATCCTCAGGCTTCAGGTCGGCCTGGTCGGAGCACCCTGAAAAGGGGACGACCCCACCCCTTCACCCCCACCCACCCCTCCTGACCCCCCCCCCCGCCCCCTCCACTGCCTCCTCTAACCCGGCTGGGCGGGTCTCGTCTCCGCAGGGTCTGGTCGCCAGTAACCTGAATCTCAAACCTGGGGAGTGCCTCAGAGTGCGGGGCGAGGTGGCCGCAGACGCCAAGAGGTGAGGGGGGCGAGGGCGGGCGGCAAGGGGCGGGGGCTCAGCTCGAGGGAGGAGCCGGGCCCGGCCAGGGGCGTGGCCGACCGGGCCCGGCCCCTCCCTCCGGCGGGGGCTGGTTTCTGGTCCTCAACGGCCGCGTCTTCTGGATGAGTCACTTCCTCCGCGGGGTCTGGACACCCCCACCACTGTCGCCCCCTTAAACTGAACCAGCTGCGGCCTCGTCATCTACCTCGGCTGGCCTCCCCTCGCCCCTTGCTGTGGGCAGGGCCTGAGGGGGCGGGGAGAAGGGATGGAAGGGCGTCACCCTTACTGCCCGCCTTCCGAGATCCGTTTTTTTTCCTCCACTCTTCGCTTTTCTCGACCTTTCATTCCTTCATGAACTCATCATTAATTCGGCCAGTTGGCCTAGTTTCTCCAGAGTCTTGTGACCTTGGATCAGTCAACCCACCGCCTTGAGCCTTATTTGTTAATCAGTTCATGGAGGGGGGAGGTTGCTGTGTGAAGGTGCAATGCTGGATCTCTCGGTGACGATGATGACCAGCTGAGCCGCAGGTTTCACGCGCACCGCTTGTGCCATTCTTTCCAAACCCTCAGAGGTAGGCATTGCTGTTAGCTCCACTCAGCAAATGTATTATTGTTATTCGTTCATAAGCCCCGCAGTTATTGAGCAGCTACCTGCTGGGTGTCACGCATCGCGCTGGGCACCAGGGCTCGAGACAGACAAGACGGATAGGACACTTGCCCTTCCAGAGGTCACCATCTGGAGGGAGTCTCTGACCTTGACCAAAGGGGCTGGGACACAAATTCATGTCTGCAAGAGTCCTGGCTGTCAGCACAGCAAGACCCTTAAGAGATCCTCTTTGTGCAGCCCCCACTGTGTAGATATGGATACTGAGATCCAGAGAGGGGCCAGGACTTGCTCAGGGGCACACAGCAAGGAGGAGGCAGGGACACAGCTAGAATTCAGGTTTCCTGCCTCTCGGCTCAGTGAGTTTCCTCAGGGAGGTGCTTTCACGTGGAGTGGGTGGCATAGACCAGAGGGTCTGGGGGGGCTGTAGCCGGTAGCTGTAGCCGTAGCTTGAAGGGGCAGCCTCAAGCCCACCTGTTACCTCCTAGCTTCTCGCTGAACCTGGGCAAAGACGATAACAATCTGTGCCTGCACTTCAACCCCCGTTTCGACGCGCATGGGGACATCAACACCATTGTGTGTAATAGCAAGGACGCCGGGGCCTGGGGGGCCGAGCAGCGGGAATCTGCCTTCCCCTTCCAGCCTGGAAGTGTTGCGGAGGTGGGCTGGGGCCTGGGTGGGTGGGGGGGGGCGGGATAAGGGCACTGGGTGGGCTGGGGCAGAGCTGGGTTGAGTGGCTAGAGATCTAGGTCCCACCCCTCCAACCCCAGTCCCCCTTCCTCTCCCTTCTCATCTCCCTGCCCTTCCCTCCCCAGCTGTGTGTTCCTCGGTGAGCAGTATCCCCTTCTCCCATCCTCAGGGCCTCACTCATGAAGCAGGGCTGTTGTCGGGGCTGGGTGAGGAAAGGGCTCTGGGAGGGCCTAGGACCTGCGTGCTGAGGGTGTGGCCGCGGAGTCGAGGGTCCCTGTGGGGTCCACGTGCTCACTCCCCTTCTGCATCCCCAGGTATGCATCTCTTTCAACCAGACGGACCTAACCATCAAGCTGCCTGATGGGTACGAATTCAAGTTCCCCAACCGCCTCAACCTAGAGGCCATCAACTACCTGGCTGCAGGTGGTGACTTCAAGATCAAGTGTGTGGCCTTTGAGTGACACATGGGCCAGCCAGCTCATGGCCCCCAATAAAGGCAGCTGCCTCTGCTCCCCCTGATCCAGCCTCCTGTGTGTGTGGGTGTGGAAGAGGAGGGTTCTGCCAACTCCCCCAAGCCCTGTCTCTACCCTCTCCTTCACTTTCATTCACTACCTTGATGCATACCTTTCTGGGGGGTGGGGGTGCGCTATGTGGCTTGTGGAATCTGAGTTTCCTGACCAGGGATGGACCCAGGACCATGGCAGTGAAAGCATCTAACCATTGGACCTGCCAGGGAGCTCCCTTGATGTTATACCTCTTAAGTGGGCTTCTAGCCCACTCCAGTATTCTTGCCTGGAAAATCCTGTGGACAGAGGAACCTGGCAGACTACAGTCCATAGGGTCGCAAAGAGTTAAACACGACTAAGTGCAGACATACCTCTTACGTGCCACTGACATCTTCTTCCCCTGGGTCCCCTGGGCTGAACAGAAAGCTCAGTACCCAGTAGGGAGCTCAATACTAAATAAGCCCCAGTCACTGCCCTCAAACAGTTCCCAACTCAGTGGACCCCAGCACACAGTAGATGCTCAAAAGGTGTTGAATAAATGAAAACAGGGAGAGAGGCAAGAACAGGCTGATTCATGCCATGGTATCTGGGGCAGCACAGAGGGAGGTAGAGGGAAGAATACCTGGGGCCCCCTCATTTGTCTTCGTGAGCTAGGAAGTCGTCCGATTTCAGACAGTGCAGGGAAAACAGCTGTGTGCCCTTCTGGGCCTTAATTGACCTCCCTGAGCCTGTTTATTCATTTATATGATGGGGAGGATAGCACGGAGCCTCTCTTGGGATTGTTGTGAGGATGAAATGAGGTGTGTGAAGGAGGACAAGCGTAGGGCTGGCACGTGGCAAACACGCAGTGGATGGTATATCCGTCCCTGCCCCACTATCGCTTGAGATCTTATCTCCTGAATCTGAAAGGGAGGAAACAGGCTCTGGGCGGTGACTCCCTGGTCTGTACCAGGCCCAGCTAAGCCTTCAGGGGCTCCCCAAGCACCCCAGGTTTGTGGTGCCAGGCCACACCCCTGAATGCTGGAGCGTAAGGGCAACCAGGGTGCCAGCCTGGAAACTCAGGGCCCTTAACCCAACAATGGGAAGATGGGCTTGGGCGATGGCCCTGGCACCACCTGCTGGCCCATTTCTGATAGGAGGAATGGGGGAGGAGGAATGCTAGCCCCTGCAGAGAGCCTAGACATAGAGGCAGGTGGGCCTCCTGCTGCACACAGCCTCTTCCCTGCAGAGCAGAGGAGTGCAGGGAACTCATGCAGCTTGTGATGAGGCCTCCATGAGCCCCTCTTCTGCTGGTTTCCAGAGGATATGCTTTCCAAGGCCAGCCAGGTTGTGTTACCTTGGAGGGCAAGGCTTCACCCAGCTCCGTCATGCTCATTTGTCACAAGGGAAGGGACATGAGCTGATGGCTGGGCAACCCTGCACACTGACTACTCCTCTGCCCCCTTTCCTTTCTGCTCCCTGATGTAGCGCCCCTACCTCCCTGGGAAACAGCCCCTGGGAACTGAGCCAGTGTTCCAAAAAGGCTTAGAATCAGAACCTCAGTGGGCAACCCCCAAACCCCAGGGCAGCCTCTTGAGCTGTGTGTGGGGTGGGAGCTTGGCTAATTTCAGTCGTCAGAACAGCTAGCATCAGTTGTGAAACACTGGATAGGTCTCTTTCCCCCAGCCTTAGTTTTTTCACCTGTAAAACGGGGGCTATTATTTTCAACTGGCCCCTTTGGGTGGATGACTCCCATCTCAGTGGGTCCGCGGCAGGACACATCTCTATGTGGGCCACGGAGGATGGAGCACAAGGGCTGGGAGCTGCCTTGAGCCACACCCAATCTCCAGGCTCTCCTGGGGCACCCAAGTGGCCACCCAGAAAGACAGCTTTGGAAGGCTGGCTGTGGGTGGGGCGCCCTCTGCTGGACATTAGAGAAAGTGTCTTCTTGACTGCCTTTTTCTCACCCTACTTACTCTCCCTACACTAGCTGAACACACAGTATACCAGGACTGGGACTACAGGCAGGCAGAGGACAGCTCCTGGGGCAAATTAGGAGAGAGATCACTGACTGTGGGGGAAATAAACTGGGCTTGGAGTCAGACCTGTGTTCAAACCCTAGTTCCATCACTGTGTGCCCTTAACCCCTCTGTTACATAACCCCTCTGAACCTGTTTCCTCACCTATCAAATTGCATTAATACTAGTATCCACCTTGTGTGACTGTTGCAAGGATTAGCTGAGATAATGTGGAGAACTGCATTGTGCCTAGCACATAATAGGGGCTCTGTAAACATTGGTTCCCTTCACCTCTTTTCAGACCCCGTGTGTCCCAAGAGCCTATGAAACTGGGTCCAGAGAAACAATAAGTAGAGTTCTCTCTTTAGATGACAGGGTTCTACCCTCAGCGCCTGCTCTTCTTGTCTGTGTGACCTTGGGTAAGTGACCACACCTCTCTGAACCTCATTAAAATGGGACTCATATCTCAGAAAAGATAATCATTTAGGGACCATGGAGGTCCAGTGGTTAAGACTCCACACTTTCACTTTAGGGGACATGAATTCCATCTCGGGTTGGAGGACTAAAGATCCCACATGCTACATGGCACAGCCCAAAAAAAAAAAAAAAAGATAATCATGCAAAGAACTAAATGGCAGCTGCTGTTATTCTTTGGCTTATCACCTTCATCATCATTTCTATTAAGAAAATGTGCCATCTCTTGCTGTGCCTGAACATAAAAATATGCTCAATGAACATAAAAATAATTTCAAGGAGAAAGTGATCCAAAAGGGAAGTGTGTTAGACTGTGAACTAACTGCAGCAAAGAGCTCTCAAGCTTTTGGAGTCTGGGTGGGGTTGCCAGTCCCACATCTATTTCCCTGGAGTAAAGGGGACCTGGGACTCCTAGGGAAGAGTTTGAACCAGGGCACCTGCCCGAGGTGTCGTACTTCACTCTGCACTGCGAACTTTCACAGATGTGGCCTCCCTGAGCCCCTCGTGGGCTGGCAGCTCCAACTGGGTGGGCTCCGAGGGCCGACTGCACAGAGATCCCCACAGAGCAGTTTTCTTCTTATTCGGTTCCAGTCTCTGCAGCTGACCAGACGTTCCAGGAGGGCAGAACCATTCCACACACAGGGCAGCAATCGGGGGTGACGCTGCAAGCCACTTAAGAATGAGCTGACTTTGTTTAAGTTATTTACCCACTCAGCCTCCACCTGAGGCCTCTGGCCGGGCATCTTGCTGGGAGTAAGGCGGGGCGCACCATTGCAGCCAAGGCAATGCTTCTACCCAGGAGGGTGCCATGGATGGCAAGCGGCATGGCCACTAGTGGCAGTGCAGGGCCAGAGAGACAGTTGTTCATCACCCTGCTGTTCAGCTGCGGGGAGTGGGGAGCGCGGGGGCGGGGGTACAGATCCCACCTGTTATACACGAAGTAGAGAGGGACGGGAGGAAAGCAGGGCGGCCCCTTTATTTATTTTTTTTTAAAGGTGTTTATTTTATTTATTTTATTTTTTTTAAAGGTGTTTATTTAAAAAAAAAATAAAAATAAAAAAGGTGTTCATTTATTTCTGTTTTGTTTTGGCCATGCTCTATGGCATGTGGGAGCTTAGTTCCCCGACCAGGGTTTGAACCCGTGTCTCCTGCATTGAGAGCATGGAGTCTTAACCACTGGACCACCAGGGAAGCCCCAGGGCGGCCCCTTTAAAAGGCGGGGTCCCGCGAGCGGAACGGCCGAGCGTCGCTGCGGAGCACTTCCGGAAGGTTAGCCTTCCCACAACCGGAAGTGTCTTTGGTGCGCGGGATCGGCGCCGCGGAAGCGTTCCGGCTATGGGCCGCAACAAGAAGAAGAAGCGAGATGGCGACGACCGGCGGCAGCGACTCATCCTGAGCTTCGATGAGGAGAAGCGGCGGTGAGTGCCAAGGCTGAGCGGATCCTGTTCGGGCCGCCGGGCAAGGCCGAGGCCGGGTCTGTCCGCGCACGCTCACGCGGAGGGCCCTTCCGGTCCCGCCCTCTCAGCGTGGTGCGTAGCCCTGGCGGGTGGAAGCCGCAGCTCTGGGCCCCCCAGGCCGGAGGGATGGAATAGCCCGCCCCGCCCTCACGTCGCTTCTCTGCTCCCCAAGCCGCTTTGTGATGCTGTGTGCGCGGCCCGAGAGCGGGCTTCACCCTCCCCAGCCTGGCGGTCTCGCTCGCAGTTGTGTTGTTCAGTCTCTCAGTCCTGTCGGACTCTGCGATCCCACGGACTCACAGTAGACTCAGCTGTTTTGGATGAATGAATAGTGAATGAAACAAAGGTCTCCGGAACTTTGAGTCGGTTCTCTAAGCCTTAGCGTGTGGTCTAGCACCACTCAGAGTGCCACCTGGACTTATGGTAGTGGGTCAGTGAAAAGCCTGGTATTGGGCCCCAGAACAGATAGGAATGGTGCGGCCAGACCTAGGGAGATGAGAGGGGCTGAGATAAGATGGAGCGTGGGGAAGGAAGTGCTGGGGCATCGTCAGGAAACTCAGGGAGGCATCAGCAAGACCTACAGACGAGTCGAGGGGCAGAGTCCTGGGGAAATGGGTATTGGTCCAATGGACAGTTTGTGGAGGTCTGGGTGAGGGTGGCCTTGAAAGCCCCACTTGAAGCGGCCTAATTTACTGAGGAATAGAGTTTGCCAATGAAGAAGGGACCCTCATCTGTTCTAGGTTCAAAGGCTCTCAGCCTGTGCCCACCACCTGGCCCTGTTGCTGGCAGCTGAGAGCCCAGGAGGGTAGTGAGTGGGGAGAGGCAGCACCTCCCTCTGTTTCCCTAACCTTACACTCTCTGACCCCCTTGGGCAAGTCATCTTACCTTTCTCTGCCTCAGTGTCTTCCATCTGTAAATTGGGAATGGGTACCTGATTGAGGACAGGAGGAAAAGGGGGTGACAGAGGATGAGATGGTTGGATGACGTCATCGACTCAATGGATCTGAGTTTGAGCAAACTCCAGGAGATAGTGAAGGACAGGGCATGCTGCAGTCCATGGGGTCATGGAGAGTCAGACGTGACTGAGCAACTGAACAACAATAACCACCCAATATGCATGCTGTTAAGATTACATGAGTTAATACGTTTACGTTTTTGGAATGGTGTTTAGCACATGGTGAGTGCAGTATTAGCTTTTTTTTCCCCCTCTTCCTGGAGTGAGCCCTTCTTTCCTTGTGTCCTGATTGTCTCTCTTGCCTCTTTGCTGTAGGGAGTACCTGACAGGCTTCCACAAGAGGAAGGTGGAGCGGAAGAAGGCAGCCATTGAGGAGATCAAACAGAGGCTGAAGGAGGAGCAGAAGAAGCTCCGGGAAGAGGTGCAAAGGGAGAGGGCAGGAGAGTGTCTGTAACTCCCAGGGGACCTGCAGCCTCACTGGCCCGAATAGGGGCACCTGCCAGGCTGAGGGGAGGGGGCGGGCAGGCCTGGGGTGCAGTTTATGCAGATAGAGGTGCCGTGGTCCAGGTGTGGGGAAGGTTTAGGGTAAGATCTCTTGATCTTTCCCTCTGAGTCATGGTCTTACTCATCCTGGAGGGGAGCAGTGTCTGGGCTGAGAGGCCATACTCACCATGTTGCCTTCCCTTTGGTTTCAGCGCCACCAGGAATACTTGAAGATGCTGGCAGAGAGAGAGGAGGCTCTGGGTAAGTCCAGTCCTTGACCTGACCTGGAGAAGAGCCAGTCGGTTGAGTTTATTTATCCCTTGATGGGTGGAAGGGAAGGGCTGCAGAGAAGCTGACATCTCTAGCTCTAGGGATCTTGGTGGTGCCCTAGGAGCCAGGGGTGTCCTCAGGTACCTCTCAATGTCAGTGGATCAGAGGCGACCCAGACCTCTTGGAAAACGGATCCTGAGCAAAAAGCCCAGTTTCTGAGGCTTGGAGGGGCTGGGGGGTCAAAGCAGCTCCTGGGGTCCAGGTGGGGACAAGGTGGTCTGGGATGTCCCTGGAGCGTGGAGGGAGGAGTTGGGTCATTTCCAGCACTTGTCTGCAGGCCAGGCTCTGGAGCCAGTGACTTCCTGGGTGCCGCTCTATAGAGTAGAGGGGGCCATTACACTCTAGGGCTGGAGTCGGGTGGAGTGTGTGCTGGAGCCTGCTTGCTTGTGTCCTGGGGCTGAGGCCTAGTCCTGTACCCACCCTGCACAGAGGAGGCCGACGAGCTAGACCGGCTGGTGACAGCGAAGACAGAGTCGGTACAGTATGACCACCCCAACCACACAGTCACCGTGACCACCATCAGCGACCTGGACCTTTCAGGGGCCCGACTGCTCGGCCTGCCCCCGCCTGAGGTGGGTCTCCCTCCCAGCCTGGGGGAGGAAGGGACACAGGGTCAGCCTGGCTTATCAAGGGGGTCAGTAAGCGCTGGTCCATGTCAAGGGGCTGGTCCATGTCAAGGATTCCAGTACAAGGGGCTCTTTCCTCTGGGTAACCCTCCAGGGCCTGGACCAAAGCCTTGAACCCTGGGGCTTCAGAGGCCAGCTCCACCACGAGCAGCTGTGGGAGCTTGGGCAGGTTTCTCTGCCTCGCCTGCTTCTTTCCTTCACCAGTACATTGGGGGTCACTGATGACAGCAGCTGCCTTGCCAGGTTTCTGTGAGGATAAAGGTGGTCAGTCCACTGGAAGCACTCAAGAGCAGCTGATTGTGCTCGCTACCCCTGCAAGACACGTCTCTCTGTTCTGACCTGTGGGGTGTGAGTCATAGCAAGTTCCAACTAGCATTTAAAAAAAAAAAAAGGGAAACAGTATCAAAAGTATCAGAAAGCATCCCAGCAAGTGTTGTCTTATGAAACATTTGTTTCAGTTAAGCTTGTGTCTGGGTTGTGTAGGGATTTATGCACATGTATGTGTATAATTTGGAGAAGGAAATGGCAACTCACTCCAGTATTCTTGCCTGGAAAATCACATGGACAGAGGAGCCTGGCAGACTACACCCCATGGGGTCGCAGAGTCAGACATGACTGAGCAACTGACATACATATGTATAGTTAGTTGCCAGGTAAACCATATCCCCTTGTGTGGGTTACAGGGTCTTTAGGTTTTAGAGCCCCTGCTTTAATCACGTCCTTTCTGAGCTCACAGTCGCCTTGTGTTTGATGCTCATTCTTCTGTTCGTTATGTGTGTGTGAAAGTCGCTCAGTCGTGTCTGACTCTTCGCGACCCCATGGACTGTAGTCCACCAGGCTCCTCTGTCCATGGGATTCTCCAGGCAAGAATACTGGAATGGGCAGCCATTCCCTTTTCCAGGAGGATCTTCCCAACCCAGGGATCCAACCCAGGTCTCCTGCATTGCAGGCAGATTCTTTACCATCTGAGCCACGAGGGAAGCCCTTTCTTCTGTCTGGTCTGATGCAAAGACTAGTCTTATCCCCATTTTAGAATTCTTTCATTTGCAAGTGTTGGAGTGTGCCCACTGTGGGCCGTGGTGGTGGAGGACTTCAGAACCCACCTCTGCCCCTGTCATTCCCGCTTCAGGGCACTTGTGACCCCCACAGCCTTCTCTGAGCCCCAAGTGGGTGTGGGAGCCAGCAGAGTAGTGACGGCTCAGGAGGGAGTGACAGCTCAGGAGGCCCAGGCCTGCTGATCCGCCACTCCTGTTCTGTGCTTTTTTTAGCAAGGGGCCGGGTCTGGGCCTGAGGAGGAAGCGTCATCCTTGGAGAAGCTGACCAGAGCCTTACCCAAGAAGTCCAGAGACCCTCTGCTGTCCCAGCGGTGAGCCCTGGCCTGTCCTCCCCTGTGAGCCTGCTCCTATGGCTGGCGTTGTGGCAGTCACCTCCCACTGGCCCATGGCGGGTGGTGTGGGGCAGAGTGCCTGGGGTAAAGGGCCTTTGTTGCTGTGAGCTGAAGAGCTGGCAGGCCCTCTGGGACAGAGCATGCTGCCTTTGGAATGGCATTTGGGGCCTGTCCTGACTTCCCCTGCATGAGCTGGGCTCAGGCACCCCCCCGACCCAACCTTCCGCCCATACCTTATTCCCCAGGGTAAACCGAGGCCCAAGCCTCACCAGCCTTCCTCCCATAGGATCTCCTCTCTCACGGCCTCACTGCATGCACACAGTCGCAAAAAGGTCAAGAGGAAACGTCTTCGCCGGGCCCAGGACACCACCAAGAAGCCCCCGAGCGCCACTCGTACCAGCAAGACCCAGCGCCGCCGGCTGACAGGCAAAGCCCGGCACAGCGGAGAGTGAGCTCTGAGACCCCGGCCAGGCACCAGCCTGGTCAGCAAGGACCTGTCCTGTCTTACAGCCCAGCCTGCACCCAGGCAGTGACTACAGCCCAAGCTTGGGAGGCCAGCACCCCTCCAGCCTGGGGTTTGGACTCCAGAAGGTGTGGGCAGCTGAGAGCCGGCCTCCCCCAGGAGAAGCCTCTGGGGGCCAAGTTTGGGGCGTCTGCCCAAATGTGTACCTTCCTGGACCTTCATCAGATTTGTGAAACTATACACACATGTGGTTGGTTTGTCCCTGACCCTGATCCCACACACCAAGGGCAGGCGTTTGGGGAGGTGGAAACTGTTGGGCGTGGGTCACCCTCGCTGTCCCACAGCTCTCCCTCTGGGCATGTAAAGGTGGTGCTAGGCCTGGGCCCCCTGATGGGATGAAGACCAGCGCCACCCCTGGCAGACCCAGAGTCTGCCTGCTGCTCTGGAACGCCAGCCGGAGGGTGAGCAGAGATGGGCTCTCCCTTCTCCTAGCTGGGACGTTGGGCCTGTCCTTCCCCTTGGCCTTTCTGGTCTCCTCAGCTGACATCAAAGGAGTGGAGATGGGGAGTCCTGGAGTATTCTCACCCCCAACTTGGGCGGCTTCCGTAGGCTTCCAGCAGCTCCCAGACAGCCCAACAGAGAAAGAGTGATTAGTCATTTGTAAAAAAAAAAATCTTCTCACTGAAATCGTGGCTGGCGGGTGCTTGGTGAGGGCTGCCGATTCTTCACACTTCTTCCAGGTGCGGCTTCAGAGCCGATGGAAACCAGCCTTGCTGCAGCAGCTGAGTGACCTGCGTCACTCATACTCCTCTCTTCTGATGGAGCTGGGCTGGTGGCAGGGTGTAGGTCTGTCTGCCGCAGGTGGGTGTGGTGCGAGGGTGGGCAGCCAGAGCACCTGTTCTGGAGATTCGGACCCTGCTTGTGCTGACTGGTCCCTGTGGTTGTGAACCAGGGCCCAGGAATTTCGGCTGCCACCCTGATTAGGGGAGCTGTGTCTGGCCCTGACACTAGGACTGCAGAGGAGAGAAGGGTGAGCTTTCAGCCCCTGTGAAGCTGGTGGGCTATTGAGTATGTGTGAAGGGGAAGCAGGTTCTGCCCCTGCACCCGGCGGGGCGGAAAGGGGGCCAGGATCTGCAGTCTGCAGGGCAGGCCTTCCCCTTCGCTCACCATGGATGCCTGCCGGGCACAGTCCTGGCCCTGCACTGGGCAGGCGCTCTCCCATCACCATCAAAACCCACCATCTGGGGCTTCCCTGTTGGCTCAGGTAAAGAATCCACCTGCCAGGGCTGGGGACATATGTTCAATTCCTGGTCGGGGATCACACGTGCCGCAGAGCAAGTAAGCCTGTGTGCCACAACTACTGAGCCCCTGCTCTAGAGCCTGCTTGCTGCAACTAAAAAGCCCGCGCAGCAATGAAGACCCAGTAAAGCCAAAAAAAACCCAAAAAACAAACCACCATCTGGTGCTGGCTGTGCAAGTCTGAAGGCCACACCTGGCCGTGGGAACATGAAGCTCAGGGTTTATGGCTGGGCGGCCTGGTGACCTGGCTTCTCTGGCTCCTTCCACCTGATCTCTCTGCTGCCTTCCTGTTGTCCTCCCCATGTGACTTAGGGTGGGGCCAGTCGCCTCACTTGGCTGCCTCCGTCCATGGCAGAGGGCGGGGTCTGTTACTGGGCCATCTAGATGGTTCTGGTACTTGACCCAGGGCAGTGAGTCTCCTCCTCACAGGCCCTCATGAGCAGGAGCAGAGATGAGCCCGGGGGCTTTGCACACATGGCCAGGCTGGGGTTTGAGTCCTAGTTCTACTGCTGGCCCACTATGTTATCTCCCTGCTGCTGACCTCCCTGGAACTGTTACCCCTACATGTAAGGTGTCATAAGACACCTACCTCGCAAGCCTGCCCGGAGACTGAAGTGAGACCACATACATGAACCATTTCCCATGGCTCCTGACGTTCCTGGGTGCACCTTCCGTGTGTGCAGCTGCTGGCTCAGACACCTGACCCTGCTGTCCATCCCCAGTGCCATAGGGTCTTTTCACAACTTAAAACCTACATTTGTAACGTTGATCTGTATTAAATTCTCATCTGTTTTTCTCCCACCTGTGCCCTTTTTCCATCCAGCTGACCAAGGAAGTTAAATCATGGTGATCTTTGCAAATCCTAAAATCGAAAGTGGTGGAGTGAGAACCGTGTGGAGAACTTTCCTCTCCGTGGTCTACCTGAATTCTTCCTGTCACTGTTCATCTGTCAGGCCCTGGGCTTGGGAGCTTTAGGAGCTTAATCAGGAAAGATTAGATTTAGCTACATATAATATGAAACAAGATTTAAAAGTAACTGGCTTATGTAAAACTAGAGTTCTCAGGTTAATAGGAATGGAAGGCAGCAAGCCTGGAGCTGAGAGGGTAGGCTTTTAGCTTTTGGTTTTGTGCTGTTTTCAACACATGGGTTCTACCTTGTGGCCTAAGATGGCTGCCTGAGCTTCAGCCATCATATCTGCCTCTCAGCTACAGAAAGGAAGAAAGAATGAAAGTCAGGTCCCTCCTAGAAACACATGATTCTTGTGCTATTAGGCAGCAAAGGCTTTAGGGCAGGAGGAGGAGGGAGCTTGTAGCCGCCAGGAAGGCCGAGGAGCGTGACTTGTTTTGGAGAGCCATGTACCCACCTAAGAATTGGGGACTGTGTTGCTGAAGGGAGAATTGGTATTGGGGTGCAAACGGCAGATTCTCCCACAGGAGCCAGAAATGTAAAGGGCTGTCTGGAGGGGATCCAACCGTGGAACTAAAGCCATAGCAGAGGCTTATCCGTCCCTGTTACTACACTGAAGTTTCCTGATGGGTCAGGCCTGTACTAGTAAAACAAAGCCATGGCCATAGTTAGCGGGAGCCAGGCCTCAGCTCAGTAGTAGGATCTGGTTTTGGGGTGGCCTGATTCTCCCTGGGAGCTTAGGGTGAAGAAGCCAGGTAGAGCTGCCCTGTGGGTCTGGAACTAAGGAGGAGAGGGGTCGGATGTCAGGGAAGCCTTAGCTTCCTGTTCCAAAATCCTCTAGATCCTGGGACTTCTCTGGAGGTCCAGTGGCTAAGGCTCCTTGACCGAAATTCAGGGGGCTCAGGTTCAATCCCTGGTTAGGGAACTAAATCCTGCATGCTGCAACCAAGACCCCCGTGCAGCCAACTAAATAAATATGAAAAGAAAGAGGTCCCCTTGACCTTGATGTTCCCTAGACTTGAGCTGTTGGCCTCCCTTTGGCTATGTAGATGGTTCTGGGGAGAGGTTCCCAATTCATCCTAGTGTGGGGTGCACACTCCCTGCTCTTGTGAGCAGGTCTGTCTTAGCAAAGTCCTGTTCTGAACAAGCATCCGCCTCCTCCAGATGCTATAGAAGCGTTCTTTAGATGTTCACAGGCTGCCTTAAGCCTGTCCCGCTCTCCTCGATTCTGAGTTGCCTCCTCTGGGAAGCCTTTCCCGACCCCTGGGAATTAGTCATTTCTCCATCCGGGCTCCAGGCACACTTTGCGTTTCTTCCTTTTAAACACTGAGCATGTTCTAACTGGGTTCCCTCTCTCCCTGAGCCAGGCCCTGGGAAGTTTGTGTTGGTCATTTCTGTGAGTCTAGCCCCGGCACAGGACCGGAACACCTATGTTTTCAGCCAGTCCTGGCTGGATTACACTGAACTCAGTCCCCCTCCCCACCAGTGTTCTCATATAATCCTTGAAATAATCTTTTTGAGAATTTTCTTGGCCCTAGTGCCATGCTTGCCTGTCTGCAAGTTTCTAAATCTAGGTTTTTTCTCCTCCTCACCACAGTCATCTCCCTCAGGCCTTTGCTGAAACCTTCCCTGTCCAGTGAACTTTGCTCTCTCCCTTCCCTCTTAGTCACCATGACTGGCAAATAATCAAAAGGAGGATAGGAAACAAATCTATCAAGCGCCTCCAATGTGCTAGTGACAGTATCAACTCAACAACAGTACTGTGAAGCGGATACTAGCTCCATTTGACAAATGAGAAAACTGAGTCTCAGATTAAGTTACATCAAAAGTTACCCTGGTTACAACTAATAAGACATGACCCTCACATCTCATGGGGGAGACAGACACATGGAGTTCACCCTGGAGGTCAGGGTTCAACATACAGGCCCAGGGCTGGGGCACAGAACAGTGAAAAGGTGACACTGACATGAGTCTTGAAAGATGGTTCAGCCAGGTGGATGGGAAAGGGGATGGACAGGTGGGCAGAGAGCCCTTGGGGGAGGAGAGGCTGGGGATGGGTGGTTAGAGGAGAGGAGAAATCTGCAGAGGCTTGAAGGGACCAGACCCTTAAGGGTCTCAGATGCTGAGCTAATGATCTGGACCCTTATCCTGTGGCCAGCGGGAGCCTGTGAGTGGGGGAGGGGGTTTAGCCTGGGGAGAGTCAAAGTCAGGGTCAGGGATGACTTTGGGGGTGACCCTAATGGCAGGGTCAGGGAACACCGGGGGTGCGAGGGAGCCTGGAAGTTCCAAGACCTTCCAGCAATAAACCAGGGGAGAGGAGATTCCCTGGTGGTTCAGTGCTTATGGCTATGCATTTCCCTGAAGGGTTTGATTCTGGCCGGAGAACTAGGATCCCACAAGCTGTATAGTGTGGCCAAAAAAAAAAAAAAAAATCAAGGGAAAGGTGGGCAGACCCTCCTCTTACTCACCACTCACTCTCAAACCAAGTATTTACTAAGCACCAGTAGGGAAGTGCTTAGTAAAGCAGTATTAGGTGCTTAGCACTGAGCAAAACAGAGTGGTCCCTGCCCTCCAGGGACTTACATTCCCTAAACTCTATATATGGGAATGGAGAGGAAGAGACTGGAGAAGAGAGAATATTAATGACATTTATTGAGTACTCACTTTTTGCCAGTCCCTCTTTACCTGGTTTAACTCATTGAGTTCTCAGGTAACCCCACAGGGCAGGCAATTACATTGAGCCCATTTTGCAGGTGAGGCATACTGAAGTGAGTGCCCCCACC